CTTTCGGTTTCTTTGCGTATTATTTCAGATTTTTTCGAAATATCGGATTCTCTCTGATTCACCCGGATTCTTTTGAACCCCTCGAATTATTATTTTTGGGTTTTCTGGTATTCTTTTGGTTTCTTCCGGATTTTCTCATAATTTCGTCGAATTCTGTTATATTCTGTTGTATTTTTTTACAAAAAGAATTGCGCTTTTTGTGGCCTTTCTACACTTTCTTTTTTTGTCAATTTTTATTTTGGCACTTTTTTCCGGCAGTTTTCATCACCATTTTATCGTTTCATTCTGCGTTTCCATTTTGGTGTTATTTTCATGTGATTTTTTAAATTTTGTTGTCGCTTTTTTAAATTACTTTCCTTTTGTCGTTTTTTATAGCTTTTCGTCGTTTTTTTTGTCATTTTTTGTGCCCCCCTCGATTTTTTGCTTTTTTTTGTATCACAATTTTGTGGCCTTTTTTTCTCTTTTTTTTGTGGCTTTTCATGTCGCCTTTTTTTTATGGTATACTTTGCCTTTCTTTTCCTCAGTTTTTTTCTTCGTTTTTTGTAGTTTTTTTGACCACCCCTTTTTTAATCTTTTGCTTCGCCGTTTTTTTTGGTCGCTTATTTTTGGGATCCCTTTATTTTTGTTTTCTTGTTGTGTCATTTGTTGCTTTTTCGTGGCCTTCTTTTTTTCCTCTTTTTTCGCTTGTTTGTTGCGTATTTTGTTCTTTTTATATTTGATGTTTTTTCGTGGCCTTTTTTGTGACATTTTCCTGATGTTTTGAATTAACGCTTTTTTTTGTTCACATTTTTTGCAGTCTTTTCTCATGTTTATAATTTTTTTTCCTCCGTTTTTTGTCGCTTTTGTAGTGTGTTTTATAATACCTATTTATGTAGTTTTTTATCGGTTTTTTGGTGGCATTTTTTGCCCTTTTTGAAATTTTTCCCATCGTTTTTTGTTGGCGTTTTTTTCTCTTTTATTTTGGCGCTTTTTTCAGAGCATTTTGTGAACTTTTTCGTTTTTTGGTTTGTTTTTTTGACAACTCTTTTTCGTGAACTTTTTGTCATCTATTTTGTAACCTTTTTTGTCGACTGTTTTGTGGTACTTTCTTATGATTTTATATTATCGCTTTTTTTAAATATATCTTTTTCGTTTTTTTGGTGTTTTTTTGTCGCTTTTATATATTTAGTGCAGATAAGTTTTGGCTAGCAATTTAGTGGAAATCTTTTAGGCATTAAAGGTTTATTATTATAAGAACAGTGAAAAATATAAAAATAAAATAAAAACTAAATCGGAAAATTGCAGATCGAATAATTGAAAAATTAAAAATTGTTTTTACGACATTTTTTTGTATTTTTTTCCGTTTCTTTTATCCTTTTTTGGTATTTTTTTTCGTCGTTTGTTCTTTTGGAATTTTTGGTCACGTTTTTTTGCAGTCTTTTTTTTCGTTGTTTTTTTTTTGTTGCTTTGGTTTATCCTCTTTTTAGCTGCTTAGGTTTTTTTTGGGTGGATTTTTTTGCGCCTTTTTTTGTGAGTCTTTTCTTGGATGGCTTTTTTTTGTTGTTTTTTTTGTGACTTTTCTCCCCTCTCGTTTTTGTCGTTGTTTTTTTTTTGTATCGCATTTTCGAATTTTTTTTTGTGCTTTTTTTTGGGTCCTACTCGTGGTTTTTTCTTGCTCTTTTTTTGTGGCTTTCCATGTCGTTTTTTTATAGCTTTTTTTTTCGATTTTTTGTCTCCTTATATTTCCAACAGCATTTTTTGCCATTTTTTGGCCATTTTTTGCCATTTTTTCTGTGATTTTTCTATATCTTTGTTTTTATGATGTGATATTTTTTCGTCACCTTTTTCTGACGTTTTGAATATTTTTTTTTCTTTTTTTTTATGTTTATAAGTTTTTTCCCCTCCGTTATTTGTCGTCTGTTTTCTAGTATTTTTGTATTTTTTATCGGTTTTTTGGTGGCGTTGTTTCTTCTATTTTGGCCTTCTTTTAATGTTTTGTGGCCTTTTTTGTCTCATTTTCTTGATTTTTTGTTATCTCTTTTTTTCGAGAATTTTTTGTCATCTTTTATGTAACCCTTTTTGTCAACTTTTTTGTGGTACTTTTTTATGATCTTCCTATTGCTTTTGTTTTTTTTTGTCTTTTTTTGTCGTTTTTGTATATTTAGTTTAAATTTTGGCTAGTAATTAAGTGGACATCTTTTGGACATTAAAGGTTTATTATTATTATTATCATCACCAGAACACTGAAAAATCGAAAAATTCCAAAATAAAAAAAAAAATAAATCGGAAAATTGCAGATCGAAAAATTGAAAAATTTTTTTGTATTTTTTTTTCGTTTCCCTTATGCTTTTTTTTGTCAATTTTTTTCAGTCTTTTTTTCGTTGTTTTTTTGTAGCTTTTTTTATATCTTTTTTGTTGCTTTTGTTTATCTATTCTCTTTTTAGCCGTTTATGCTTTTTTGGGTGGATTTTTTTGCCGCTTGTTTCCGTGGCCCTTTTCTTGGATCGTTTTTTTTTTGTTTTTTTTGTGACTTTCTTTTTTATTGTTGTTGTTTTTTATCTTCTCTGCTTGTTTCTTGTCGCTTTTTTTTGTGTCGCAGTTTCGAATTTTTTTTGGCGCCTTTTTTTTTGGTCCTAATTGTGGTCTTTTTTCCCTTTTTTTTGTGGCTTTTCATAGAGTCTTTTTTTTTAGATTTTTTTTGCCATTTTTTTGCGTTTTTTTTGTCAATTTCTTGCGTCGATTTTTTGTGTTTTTTTAATTTCCTTCAGTCGCTTTTTGCAGCTTTTTTTTACCTTTTTTCTTCTCATTTTTTTTTTCTTTTATTGTTGTTGTATTTTTATTTTTTTCTGGTAATTTTTTGACGTCGTTTTTTGGTCTCTTATTTTTGTGGCCCTTTTTTCATGGCCTTGTTTTCCTCTTTTTTGTCGCTTATTTGTAGCTTATTTTATTGTTTTTGTATGTGATATTTTTTCGTGACTTTTTTGGTCATTTTCTACGTTTTTTTATTATTGTTTTTCGGCAGTTTTTTTCTCTCTTTTTTCTCTCACTTTTGCCAGCGTTTTATCAGTTTTTTTTTCATGTTTATAACCTTTTTTAGCTCCATTTTTTGTCGCTATGGTCGTGCATTTTTGTAGTTTTTTATTGTTTTTTTGTGTCATTTTTGTATTTTTTCCGTCGTTTTTTGATAGCGTTTTTTGTACTTTTATTTTGGCGTTTTTTTCAGTATTTTTTGTGTTCTTTTTTGTCTCCTTTTATTTTTCGTTTTTCGTTTTTGTTTTCTCTTTTTTTGACAGCCCTTTCATGGCCTTTTTTGTCATCTTTTTGAACCTTTCTTGTCGACTTTTTGGTGGCAGTTTTTTATGATTGTATTATCGCTTTTTTTAAACACATTTGTTTTCTTTTCGTATATTTTTTTTTTTTGTTTATTTAGTTTCAATTCAAGTAATTGGGTGGAAATCTGTTAGGCAGTAGTTTAATTTTATTATTATCATCTTATAAATTAGAACACTGAAAAACCGAAAAATTGAAAAATAAAGGCAATAAAAAATCAAAACGAAGGATTGTAGAAATGAAAAACTGAAAAATCGAAAAATTGAAAAATTAAAAATTGTTTTTAGGACCTTTTCGGGCAGGATTTTTTGTAATTTTTTGTAGTACTCTTTTTGTGGCCTATTTTCCAAAATTTTTTTTCGTTTCCTTTGTAGCTTTTTGCATTTTTTTTTTGACAATTTTTTCGTCGGATGTTCCCTCATTTTTTTCCGTTTTTGTCGCTTTGGAAATTTTTTCGTTTTTTATTTTTTTGCTTTATTTTGTAATTTTTAGAGCTTTTTTGATCGTATTTTTTGTCCTTCTTTTTCAGTTCTTTTTGTGATCGCTTTTTAATAAGATAAGACTTTCTGTCGCATTTTTTCCCAGTTTATAGTCAATTTTTGGCCGCCTTTTTTGGCGTATTTTTGTCACTTTTCCTCATCTTTTTGGACCTTTATTATCGCATTTTGTCGCCTTATCGAATTATTGTAAAAAATTCAATTCAATTCAACCGAAGTTCGAGAATTTTTAGATTTTTGTTCAATGCGCATATAATTATAAAAAAATAGACACAGCTCCTCGTGAATCTGAAATCCTCTAAGTAATGTAATTACATATCTCTCCTCCTACTCTCCGAGCTCCGCTTACATAAACCCTCCCACTAAAATAAAAATCTAATAACAGCACGTTCTCTATCATTATTCAAATAACCCTAATAATCCCGAAGGATTTTTCCCCGACCCGCCCTTATTAAACTACAACTAAGACAACCTTATAAAACGGGATTACGACGCAGCCAGTCATAAACCGTCTAATTCGTTTTATAGTGGATGCACCTCTCATCCCAACATTATTAATATCGTAAAAACAAGCCCCAAACGTCCTCATTATCACCCGCTACCATCACGTGGGAGTCAAATTACGCACACAGGTAATTACCAATTAGCCCGAGGCCGTTATCAACTCCATCGAACTTTATTAAAAACGCCTAAATGTCAGTGTCACCGTGACACTCCGAACCCTGCCAAGATGTGAGTCAAAATTCCCGTAGACTCTCCACAGGAACGGAAAAATTATGGCCTTGAGCACTTGGGAGCTTCTCCTGCTGACCTTCGGGATCTGCGCCGGCATCCACATCCTCGTCTTCCTGGTGCAGCCGGCGATGACACACGACGATTGCGACGGTTGCAAGGAAATCATGGACGGGATCGCCAGACGCAGGTTCGTCGAAGAGAACTCCATCAAACGCCACCAGAAAATGCCGTACTTCCACTAAAACTGTGTATTTTTGTGAAAAATAAAACAAATTAACGAAATTGATGTGCGTGATAACCGAGCCGAACGCGCAAATTGGGGCGAGCTTAATTAATTGAATTCGATTTATCGAAAATTTATTTTTCGGCGAGGGGTGATAATTAAAAGGCTGGAGGAATTTATTGTTTCGATAATGAATTATACCAGAAGGCTGTTAAAAAGCGTTGGTTCTTTTCCAGGATAATCAGTGCATGAGGATCAAGATCCTGGGGGACTGCTATTATTGCGTCTCGGGATTGCCGGTGTCGAGACCCAACCACGCCTACAACTGTGTCAACATGGGCTTGCAGATGATCGAAGCCATCCGGTAAGGTTGTCAACACTGGGTTATTTAAACGTCATGGAAAATGCAATCGATATGTTTGTTTGTTTGAGAGTGGAGAGGAAAAACGAGATTAATTCCTTGGGGGGAATTGGGATGGTTGGGGTACGTGCAGGTCGGCAAAAACAAAAAACAAAAAAAGTGAACGGTAAACCGAATTATTTGTCAATATTTTTTGTTCGCCAAAAAAAAATCAAAGAGTTGCTGTTTTATTTAAAAATTCGTCATTTTTGCATGGGTGCTTTTTGTACTGAAAGGAAAACTTTTGTAACTGAGTTGGTGGATATGTAACATATTTATATAATATCTCTAATAAATAAAATTGCTATATGTTCAGAGCGAAACGGTTACTATAAGGCCATTTTTCTTGATATAATGAAGGTTTTTGACAAGCCTTATGTTTATAAATTTAGTCCAAATAGTGTTGCTCTAATCAAACCATATCTTAGTAATCGTTTTCACAATGTACTATACTCCGTTTACCGAACACATGGAGTTGTAAAAACACGTGATCTTCACCGATTCACGATTTAGTTTTTGGACGATGTTGAATTTTTTCAATTGTAAAAAAAATAAAAAATAAATCAAAATTAATTTGAAGTTTTTTATTTTTAAGACCCACCACTGACCCGGAAATGACCGGCATTCAGGCAAGACTTCTATCATTACGGGTACTAAGACCAAGTAATGATATGCATTGATTAGATTAACAGAACAACTTTTGTTATTAAATAATTATTACTACATACTTTTATTAATTTCACTTTGTATTTCAAACCATTCATTAGTGTAGGTACTCCATAACTTGTCATTTTTACAGTCAATTTTATGTGCTTGCTTTCGTTAAAAATTTTAGAACTTGTTACGTATTATTTGATAAAAATATCCGAAATGACTTATTCGTCTTTCTTTTTATCGTGCAAGCTTGGACGCTTATTTTATAGGGACGTTAGGTGCACGTGATTACTCCATCTGTTCGATAAATGGACCATATTTCAACATGAACTTTCGAATACGAAAGTAGTTCATCTCGGTGCATCTCAAGGATCCATGTTTGAGTGATTTAAGTAAAATTGATTTTTTTCCAATCTTGGGTTTATGCAGTCTTCTTTTTTCGTCGTTTTTTATCACCTCTTTCTGTCGTGTTTGACTTTTTTACACTATTTTCAGCACCCTTTCATATTACATTTTTTGTCTTTTATAACGTTTTTTATTTCATTTTACGTCGCCATTTTTGTGCCTTTTTTAGTTGTTTTTTGTAACTGTTTTGTCCGTAATCTTTTTTCTTCGTCGTTTTTTTTTGTTTTTTAGACATCGTTTCATATCGATTTTTTTTCGTCAGGTTTTTGTCATTTTTGTCTTTTTTTTGTTGCTTTGTCGTTTTTTTGATGAGTTTTTGTAATTTCCTTGTTTTAATTGTTTGTTGCTTTTGTTTGTCTACTTTTTGTTTCTTTTGTAGCCTTTTTTCGTCACATTTTTTTCGTTTTTTGTGTTTTTTTGACCTTTTTTGTTTTTTTTTGTGGGCGTTTGTTCGGTTTATTATCATTATTATTATCTTAGAGATCAGAACACTGAAAAACCGAAAAATTGAAAAAAAATTAAGAAATTAAAATACAAAACGAAGAGTTGTAAATCGACCTTTTTTGGGTCGCATTTTTTTGAAATTTTTTGAGGTACTCTTTTTGTGGTCCCTTGTCTCTTGTTTTTTCATTTCCCTTGTGGCTTTTTTACCTTTTTTTTATCAACAGTTTTTTCGTTGTTTTTTTTGTCGTTTTATTACCGTTTTTTGGGCAGGGTTCTTATATCTCTTTTTAACTTTCCTGTTATGTCGCTTTTGTCATCTGCTTTCTAGTATTTTTTTACTCATTTTTCCCCTTTTTATAATTTTTTCCGTCAGTTTTTGGTGGCGTTTTTTTCTTTTATTTTGGCGCTTTTTTTCAATATTTTTTGTGACCTTTTTTGTCTTCTTTTTTTGTCACAGTTATTTAGAGCTTTTTTTGGTCGTATTTTTCCCCCTTTTTTGTGGATTTTTTAATTTTGTTTTGCTGTTGCACGTGATCACTCCATCTGTTCGGTAAACGGACTATATTAAAACATGACCTTCTGAATACCAAAGTAAATTAAGTAAAATTTTTAAAATTTTTGTTTCATTTTTTGTCGCTGTTGTTTGTGGGCTTTATTGTTTCTTTGGTAGCCGTTTTTTGTCGTTTTTGTCACAATTTTCTCGGTTTTTGTCTTTTTTAAGCGCGTTTTTTTGCATCATTTTTTACCCTTTTTGAAATTTTTTGATAGTTTTTTTTGTCCTTTTGCTCTTTTATTTCGGCACTTTTTTCAGGATTCTTGTGACTTTTTTCTTTTTTTTCGTTTTCTCTTTTTTTTTGCTTTGTTTGTTGTCGCTTTTGTTTATTTAGTTTCAATTTTGTTGGGCAATAAAGGTTTATTATTATCATCTGAAAAACCGAAAAATTGAAAAAATAAAGAATATTAAAACCAAAACGAAAAATTGCAAATCGAACAATTGAATAATTAAAAATTGTTTTTACGGCCTTTTTTGGGTCTCGTTTTTTTGAATTTTTTTGTGGTGCTCTTTTTGTGGCCTCGTTTTACTCTTTTCCTCGTTTCCTTTGCTTTTTTTTTGTATTTTTTTTCGTTGTTTTCTATTTCGTTTATTGAGGTTTTCTTGTTGCTGCTTGGGCTTTCTTTGGGTCGATCTTTGTGTCATTTTCCCCTCATTTATTTTGCCACGGTTTTATGGAGTCTTTTTTCACGTTTATAACTTTTTTTAATCCCATCATCATTTATTTTCTAGCATTTTGGTAGTTTTTCACTTGCTTTTTTGTGGCATTTTTGCTCTTTTTGTATTTTTTCCCGTCGTTCTGGGTGGCGTTTTTTTTTCTTTTATTTTGGTGCTTTTTTTCAATATTTTTTGTGACTTTCGTTGTCTTCTTTTTTTATGTTTTACTTTCTCTTTTTTCTTTTGTTTTATAATTTTTTGACGTTTTTTTTCATTGTATTTTTTGCTCCTTTTTGTCGATTTTTTATTTTTTCGCTCTTGCACGTGATTACTCCATCCGTTCGGTAAACGAACTATATTAAAACATGACGTTTTGAATACCAGAGTATTAACGTACTTGGTTTATTTTAGGGATCGAGATTTTGATAAATTAAGTACAATTTTAAAATTTTGGTTACATTTTTTTTGGCTTCTGTTTGTTTACTTTTTTGTTTCTTTTGTAACCTTTTTTTTTTGTTTTTTTTTTGTAAGCTTTTGTTCGTTTTTTGCGTCTTTTTTGATACCGTTACATATCACATTTTTTGTTTTTTTTTTAATTTTTTTCTGTAGTATTTTGTTTTTACATTTTTGTTATTCCTTTTTTTCATTCGTTTTTTTGTCGGTTTTTTTGCTTCATTCTTTGTCGCCTTTTCTCTGTTGTTTTTTTTTGTCGGTCTATTCCTTCATTTTTTTGTCGTCTTCTGTATGTCTTTAGTAGTTTCCTTATCATTTTTTTTATCTTTTTCGTCGCATTTCCTTTATCTTTTTCTTTGTTTTTTTTTGTTTTCTTGTGAAGCATTGTAATCTTTTTTTTGCCGTTGCACGTGATTACTCCATCTGTTCGATAAACGGACTTTCGGATACCAAAATAGTTTATTTAAATAAAATTTTCAAATGTGGTCAATCTTGTTTTCGGTTTTTCTCTGTTTTTGTAGCCTTTTTTTCTTCGCTTCTTATTGTTATTTTATTTCGTCCTTTTTTGTCTGATTTTTCTCCCTTTTTTGGCACCGTTTTATATAGCATTTTTTTGTAATATTTTGACGATTTTTTAGTTTTTTCGTCTCCTACGGTTTTTTTGTTGTTCTTTTTTCGATGTTTTTCGTCGATTTTTTGCATGTTATTTTGGCGCATTTATTTATAGCTTTTTTTGGTTCATTTTTGTCATCGTTTTGTATTTTGTATTTTTCAGTCATTTTCCTACTTTTTTTATGCTTTTTGACGCTTTTTTGTCATTTTTTTGTTGTTGTTTGTAGTTTTCTTACAATTTTGTTTCTCTTTTTCGTCGCATTTCCTTAGTTTTTTCTTCGTCGGTTTTTTTTTTCGTTTTCTTGTGGCGCACTCCATCTGTTCGATAAACGGAGTTTCAGATATCAAAATAGTTCATCTTGGTGTACCTCAAGGATTGATATTTTTGAGGGATTTAAGTACAATTTTCAAATGTGGTTTTAATTTTCGCCCTTTTTTTTAACATCGTTTTATACCGCATTTTTTGCATTATTTTGCGCTTTTTTCATTGCATATTGTTTCCCCTTTTTTTGTCTTTTTTAATCGTTTCTTGTAATTGTTTTTTCCGTAGTCTTCGTCGTTTTTTTTTTGTTTTTTTTTGGCGTTTTTTGACATCGTAACATATTGAATTTTTGTTGACGGTTTTTTGGTCGTATTTTGTGTCATTTATTGTCACTTTTTTCTCCATTTTTTGGTTCATTTTTGTTGCTTTTTTGTATTTTTTTTTTTCATCGGTTTTTTGTTGTCTCTTTGTAGTTTCCTTCCTTTTTTGTGACACGTTTTATTATTTTTGTTGTTGCATCTGATCACTCCATCTGTTCGGTAAACGGACTACAATAAAAGGAGCTATTCAATACTAAAGTAGTTCATCTTGGTTTATTTTAAGCATCCAGATTTGGGTGATTTAAGTGAAATGTTCAAATGTTGGTTTAATTTTTTGTCGCTTTTGTTTATTGACTAAAACGTATTTCGTCACATTTTTTTGGTTTTTTTTGTCTTTTTTTTTGACGCTTTTTTGTGGGCTTTGGTTCTTTTTTTTGCGTGTTTTTAGTACCATTACATTGTGCGTTTGTTTTTTTTTGTCATTTTTTTCTGTAGTATTTTGTTTCACATTTTTGTTGTTACTATTTATTCATTGCTTTTCTGTCCATTATTTTGATCGTTTTTTTTTATTTAATTTTTTGTTGCCTTTTTGTGTTGTTTCTTTTTATCGATATTTTTTCGTCAGTCTTTTGTTTCATTTTTGGTGCCTTTTGTGTGTCTTTTTAGTAATTTTCTTATATATTTTTTTGTCTTTTTTCACATCGTTTTTTTTATTTTATTGTAATCTTTTTTGCCGCTGCACGTGATTACTCCATCTGTTGGATAAACGGAGTTTTGGATACCAAAATAGTTCATTTTCATCTCAAATGTGGTCAATCTTGGTTTCAATTTTTTTCTTTTTTTTCCTTCATTTTTCTGTCGCCTTTTGTGTGTCTTTTTACTAGTGTTCTTATATTATTTTTGTCTTTTTGGTCGTTTTCCTTGGTCTTTTTCTTCGTCGGCTTTTTTTTTGTTTTCTTGTGGCGCACTCCATCTGTTCGATAAACAAAGTTTGTCATAATTTTGTATCTTCTTTACCATTATCTTACTCTTTTGTCTTTTTTGGCGCCTTTTTGTCGTATTTTTTGATCCGTTGTCTTCTTTTTTGACGGTTTTTTTGGCCCATTTTTTTATCGCTTTTTGTGGGTCTTTTTTAGTAGGTTCCTTAACATTTTATTGTCCTTTTTGCAGCATTTTTTTAGTCTTTTCTTCATCAGTTTTTTTATCTTTATTTTTATCGTTGCATATGATCACTCCATCTGTTCGGTAAACGAACCATGTTAAAACATGAACTTTCGGTTACCAAAGTAGGTAGTTCGTCTTAGTGTATCTCAAGAATCTATATTAGAGTCATTTAAGTAAAATTTTCAAATTCTGTCAATGTTGGTTTAATTTTTTTGTCGCGTTTTTTTCTCGTGGTTTTTTCTTTGCGTTGTCTCTTTTGTGGATTTTTTCATCTTTTTTTGTCAGTTTTTGTCTCTTTTTTGCCATTTTTTTTATTTGTTTTTTTGTGGCCTTTTTGATTTTTTTTCCGTTTTTGCACCTTCTTTATTCGTTAAATTAAAATTAATTCATCAAGATTACATCATGGACTCAACAAATTCACATAACACATGAAAGACACACAACAACGCAAATATTAAAACGGCCAAAATCAAAATAATAATTCAAAAATAAATGTTCAAATTCAAGATGCGAGAAAATAACTCGGATTTCTAATCCATGATGACATTAATTTAACTGATGATAATTTTCAAGGCCGTTTCTCCCAAAATGAGGATAATATAACTTCAGTAAAAACGTCCAGAACTTCACGAACAATTAAAAGTTTAAACTATATGAACTCTGAATTTAGAGACAAAAAAAGCACGTGTGGACGAAAATCATAATTAACCCATCTTACACTAATTACGCTCGTTGGAGGGGGACCGTGGCGTCGAATCCGATTCATTATTGACCGGTTTACCTAAGTAAAAATTTCAAATTGTGTCAATATCGCTTAAAATCTTGGTAAACATCGTCGATATCTTATCCGGATTTTTCTCTAGTTAACCCAAAACGGAAGTGCAAAGTGGAACACTTCCGCTTCTACAATCCTCGATCGAAGTTTGCCACGTCTTGTACTTGTGACAGACTTTCATCTTTGCAAAGTAAACACAAAACAATTTCTTAAGTCATTAAATTTACGTCGTTCCTGCCATATTCCTAGTAAAATCGCAACCCCAGGCGGGATTTTATGCTCATCTAACTTTTATTGAGACAATTTACAACTCCCGGAAACATGTCCGCATTTAAAATGAGATCGCTTGGGTTAGACGATCACTATAAATATGATGTATTGTTGGTTGCCTAATACACAAATTCTTTGATTTTTTCTAGGTTTGTCAGGGAAGCCACCGGCTTCAACGTGGACATGCGAATCGGGATCCACACCGGGAATGTCCTGTGCGGCGTCCTGGGTTTGCGGAAGTGGCAGTTCGACGTCTGGAGCGACGACGTCACTCTAGCCAACCACATGGAATCAGGAGGAATCGCAGGGTAATCGAAACAGCGTCAAAGTCACACTCAAGCGCTTTGTTTACCACCGACAATAAAAAAAAAGAAAACAAACTCGCGATTCCAAAATAAACAGCAAACACCGCTTCCATTAGCTACATGATGTTGATTGAATCAATGATTCGGCTTTGATCGAAAATCGGGCACAAGAGTTTATTAAAAAGGTCGCTGCCTAATGGACGTTACATTAGCTCAGATTGGCTTTTTTCCAGGCGGTAATTAGTTTAAAAGTAATGCAGCGGTAATGCAATTTCGGATTTTGCGGAGTGTTGGTTCAGATGTCGCATGGTCGCGAATTCTGGCTGTTGACGTTGGAAAGGAGCCAGTGTTTGATGGACGAATTGTTGATACTTTGACATAAATTTAGGCAAATTGCTCAATTAAATTCAACTCAGACGGTTTACGTTTCGGTTTTGAATTTGGGCTGATTATGTTGCGATAAAACGTGGCACGCAGACACAGAAAAAGACACAGAAAAACCCGCTATATCCTTCAGCGAAGTGACTCCATTCATGTATTTGTTTATACTTCCAAATACGAATATTGCTCGTCACAAAGCGCTCATCCAGCACAATACTGTCACAGTAAACATGTTATTTCCCTTCAGAATCGCTCAAAACTGCAAAGACTCCGTCTCCGCTCTCAAAAGAGTTGATTAAAATTTTATTTTTCCTTTCGTCTATTTACACAACGTCTCCACAAAAAGTCTTCAAACTCCCCAATCCCATTGTCCGCTTCACCTGTTCGTCTCGCTGGCAAACATTCGTCGAGGAATTAATAGAAACAAAGCAACAAATGCCCCTTTTTCGACATAACGAACGTCATTCAAAGAATGAATAGGTCCTGATTGGTCTCTGAAGTGGCAATGAGGAGAATTAAATTCATAAGCTTTTTAGAAACCGTTCGAAACGTGACGCAATTATTGCGTTCGGAGCTTTTTGTGACGGTTTAATCCGTTCGACGTGCTGGGGAATTTTAATTGGGGCAATTATCGGAGATGGAGGAGTTTTTGCGAGTTAATTAGGGAGTTTTTGTCAGAGGAGAGTTGTACTCGGACGTCTATGAAACGCAGTTGTTGATCGTTGTCTGGATCGTTCCGCTGGAAAATGTTCGAGCAATAGAGATTCAATTACGATTAGAGTTTTCTGCTCGGAAGGCTTAATAACAAGGTGTAGTGATGTTTTTGAAACAGTCTCAACGTAATTACTTTATTGACTGCGATCCGGAGTTTTCTTAGGGGGGGAAATGGCACGGAAGTAATTTGATTAATTCGTGGATTCTTTTTTTGATCGGTAGGCGAACACAACAGGTTGTAAATATTCGAGATACAGACAAAACTAGATTTAACAAAAAATTCGAAGCATTAGGAAGAATAGCCTTCAAAAAATTAAAAAAAAACACAGTCCTTGATTACCTTTTAGGAATAAGAAGGATTCTTAAGTTCCTCCTACTAGTGTCTTTTTTTAAGGAATGTCAAGAATCTCCATGTCTTCGAATGTCAAGAAACTCGAAGGTTCTTCGTGTCTTTTTTAAAGAATGTCAAGAATCTGAAGATCCCCAATGTCTTTTTTGTTTAAAGAATGTCAAGAAGCTCCGGAACTCCAGTTGTCTTTTTGTGGAACGAGAAAGATTCTCGGGATTCCTCTAGTGTATTTTTTTAAAAGAATATCAAGAATCTCCGGGTACCGGATTGTCGTTTTTAGGAGTGGGAAAGAATCTCTGGGTAAACCTAACGTCTTTTTAAAGAATGTCAAGAATTTCGGAAGTTCCTAGTGTCTTTTTTTAAAGAATGTCAACTACCTATCTCAAGGTTCTGAATGTCCTTCTTTACAAATTTGAAAGAACCTCTGGAACCTCTATTGTTTTTTTTTTTTTAATAACGTCAGGAATATCCAGGTCCCCGATTGTGTTTTTCAGGAATATCAAAGTCCTCAAGGTTCCGGAATCTTATTATTTTAGGAATTAGAAAGAACCCTGGGGACCACTATTGTCTTTTTTAAAGCATGTCAAGAATCTGGAGGATACCTAGGATCTACAGAATCAAAAGGATCACAAGGATCTAAAAACTCCAAAGGATCAAAAAGATCGAAAGGATAAAAAGGATCAAAAAGATCTAAAGGATCTAAAGGATATAAAGGATCTAAGGGATCTAAAGGATCGAAAAGATCCAAAGGATCTGTAGGATTTAAAGGATCTAAAGGTTGAAAAGATTCAAAAGCAACCAAGGGTTCACAGGATCCAAAGGATCGTAAGGTTCAAAAAAGGCAGAAGGATCAATAGTCTCTAAAGGATCTAAAGGATCTAAAGTTTCAAAAAGATCAAATAGATCAAAAGAATCAAAATATCAAAAGAACCTAAATGATCGAAAGGATCGAAAGGTCGAAAGGAACAGAAGGATCTAAAGGATATAAAAGTTTAAACGGTTCAAAAGGATCAGAAGAATCAAAAGGGTCTAAAAGATCTAACGGTTCTAAAAGATCTAAAGGATCTAAAGGATCTAAAGGATCTAAAGGATCTAAAGGATCTAAAGGATCTAAAGGATCTAAAGGATCTAAAGGATCTAAAGGATCTAAAGGATCTAAAGGATCTAAAGGATCTAAAGGATCTAAAGGATCTAAAGGATCTAAAGGATCTAAAGGATCTAAAGGATCTAAAGAATTTAAAGGATCTAAAGGATCTAAAGAATCTAAAGGATTTAAAGGATCTACATATTCAAAAGATTCAAAAGGATCTTAAGGATCTAAAGGATCTAAGGGATCTAAAGGATCGAAAAAATCTAAAGGATCTAAAGAATCGAAATGATCGAAAGAATCCAAAAGATCAAAAATTTCCAAAGAATCAAAAGGTTACAAAGGATGTAAAGGATTAAAAGGATCGAAAGGATCGAAAGGATCTATAGTATATAAAGGATCTAAAGGATCTAAAGGATCTAAAGTTTTTAAGTGATTTAAAGGATCTAAAGGATCGAAAGAATCAAAAGGATCTTAAGGATCTAAACGATCTAAGGGATCTAAAGGATCGAAAAGATCGAAAGAATCTGTAGGATTTAAAGGATCTAAAGGTTGAAAAGATTCAAAAGCAACCAAGGGTTCACAGGATCAAAAGGACCAAAAAGATCAGAAGGATCAATAGTATCTAAAAGATCTAAAGGATCTAAAGTTTCAAAAAGGACAAATGGATGAAAAGGATCAAATATCAAAAGGATTAAAATATCAAAAGGATTAAAATATCAAAAGGATCTAAATGATTGAAAGGATCGAAAGGTCGAAAGGAACAGAAGGATCTAAAGGATCTAAAAGTTTAAACGGTTCAAAAGGATCAGAAGAATTAAAAGGATCTAAAAGATCTAACGATTCTAAAAGATCTAAAGGATCCAAAGGATCTAAAGGATCTAAAGGATTGAAATGATCGAAAGAATCCAAAAGATCAAAAATTTCCAAGAACCAAAAGGTTTCAAAGAATCAAAAGGTTCCAAAGGACCTAAAGGATTAAAAGAACCGAAAGGATCGAAAGGATCTATAGTGTCTAAGGGATCTAAAGGATCTAAAATATTTAAAAGATCTAAAGGTTCTAAAGGATCTAAAGAATCTGAAGGATCCTAAGAATCTAAATGATTTAAAGGATCTACAGAATCAAAAGTTTCAAAAGGATCTAAAGGATCGAAAGGATCGAAAGAATCCAAAAGATCAAAAATTTCCAAAGAACCAAAAGGTTCCAAAGAATCAAAAGGTTCCAGAGGACCTAAAGGATTAAAAGAACCGAAAGGATCTATAGTGTCTAAGGGATCTAAAAGATCTAAAGGATTTAAAAGATCTAAAAGTTCCAAAGAATATAAAGAATCTGAAGGATCCTAAGAATCTAAATGATTTAAAGGATCTACAGAATCAAAAGGTTCAAAAGGATCTAAAGGATCGAAAGGATCGAAAGGATCGAAAAGATCAAAAGGATCTTAAGGATCTAAAGGTTCAAAAGGTTCAAAAGGAACCAAAGGATCCACAAGATCCAAGGGATCATAAAGTTTAAAAGGACCAAAAACGGATTAACGGGATCAAAAGATCAAAACGATCTAAATGACGAAAAAATCGAAGAGATCGAAAGGATCGGAAGGATCAAAAGTATCAAAAGGATCTTAAGGATCTTAAGGATCTAAAGGTTCAAAAGGTTCGAAAGGAACCAAAGAATCAGCAGGATCCAAAGTATCAAAAGTATCTAAAGGGTCTAAAAGTTCAAAAGAATCAACGGGATCAAAAGATCAAAAGGATCTAAATGATTGAAAAGATCGAAAGTATCAAAAGGATTTAAGGCATCTAATTGATCTAAAGGATCTAAAGGATCAAAGGATTAAAAGTATCAAAAGAACCAAATGGATCAAAAGGATCAAAAGGATCAAAAAGATCAAAAGGGACTAAAGGATCTAAAGGATCTAAAGTATCTAAATGATTTAAAGAATCTAAAGGATCTAAAAGGTTTAAAAGGTTGAAGAGGACCAGAAGGATCAAAAGAATCAAAGGAATCTAAAGAATCTAGAGGATCTAAAGGATCCAAAAGATCGAAATGATCTATAGGATTTAAAGAATCTAAAGGTTGAAAAGATTCAAAAGCAACTAAGGATTCGCAGGATTCAAAGGATCATAACGTTCAAAAGGACCAAAAACATCAGAAGGATGAATAGTATGTAAAGGATCTAAATTTTCAAAAGAATCAAATGGATCAAAAGGATCAAAATATCAATAGGATCTAAATAATCGAAAGGATCGGGAGATCGAAAGGAACAGAAGGATCTAAAAGATCTAAAGTATCTAAAAGTTTAAACGAATCAAACGGATGAAAGGAAAAGATCTAAAGGATCTCAAGAATCGAAAAAATCCAAAAGATCAAAAATTTCCAAAGAAGCAAAAGGTTCCAAAGAATCAAAAGGTTCCAAAGGATCTAAAGGATTAAAAGAACCGAAAGGATCGAAAAGATCTATTGTATCTAAGGGATCTAAAGGATCTAAAGGATTTAAAGGATTTAAAGATTCTAAAGCATCTAAAGAATCTGAAGGATCCAAAGAATCTAAAGGATTTAAAAGATCTACAGAATCAAAAGGATATAAAGGATCGAGAGGATCGAAAGGATCAAAAGGATCTTAAGGATCTAAAGGTTCAAAAGGTTTAAAAGGTTCAAAAGGAACCAAGGGATCCACTGGATCATAAGGTTTAAAAGGACCAAAAGTATTTGAAGGATCAAAAGTATTTAAAGTATCAACGGATCAAAACATCAAAAGGATCTAAATGACGAAAAAATTGGATGAATCGAAAGGATCGGAAGAATCAGCAGGATCCAAAGGATCATAAGGTTTAAAAGGACCAAAAGAATCAGAAATATCAAAAGTATATGAAGGATCTAAAGGTTCAAAAGAATCAACGGGATCAAAAGATCAAAAGGATCTAAATGATTGAAAAGATCGAAAGAATCAAAAGGATCTAAAGCATCTAATTGATCTAAAGAATCTAAAGTGTCTAAAGGATCTAAAGGATCTAAAGGATCTAAAGGATCTAAAGGATCTAAAGGATCTAAAGGATCTAAAGGATCTAAAGGATCTAAAGGATCTGAAGGATCTAAAGGATCTAAAGGATCTAAAGGATCTCAAGGATCTAAAGGATCTAAAGGATCTAAAGGTTCTAAAGGATCAAAAGTTTCAAAAGGATCAAAAAGATCAAAAGGATCAAAAGGGACTAAAGAGTCTAAAGAATCTAAAGGATCTAAAGGATCTAAAGGATCTAAAGGATCTAAAGGATCCAAAGGATCTAAAGGATCTAAAGGATCTAAAGGATCTAAAGGATCTAAAGGATCTAAAGGATCTGATGGATCTAAAGGATCTAAAGGATCTAAAGGATCTAAAGGATCTAAAGGATCTAAAGGATCTAAATGATCTACAGGATCTAAAGGGTCTAAAGGATCTAAAGGATCTAAAGGATCTAAAGGATTTGAAGGATCAAAAGGATCTAATGCATCTAAAGAAAATAAAGAATCTAAGAGTCTAATGAATCAAAAGGACTTGAAGTGTTTAAATTTAGAAGATTCTAGAGTCTAAGGACTCAAAAGTTATAAAGATTTTTAAAATTGTGTTTCAAATATTTGAAAATTTTTCTAAAGGTTCTAAAGAAATTCCAAAAATCCAAAGCTTGTAAAAATCCCTTGAACTCTTAAAATGTGAAAAATATTAAAGATTCCAAAGACTCTAAAAAAAAACAAAAATCTTAAAACTCTAAAAATAGTTAAGATCTGAAGAAACGTTCCCTTAATATTTATAAATACCAAAAGCGCTAGAGGTCTTTAACACCCTAATTATTATCTTGTAAATCGTAGAGATTATATAGATTCATGAGATTCCAAAAAGGTTTAGAGACTCTTGAGGTACATAGGTTTTGGAAAATCCGAAAAAATGTGGTAGATTTGGAAGTCTTGAAAATTCCGTAATTTTAGAAAATTTGGAAATTTTGCAAATTACTGAAAATTTGGAATAATAAAAAAACAAAAATCTGAAGATTTAGGAGCTTTCACGGATTCTAAAAATTCTTATAGAAATTGCTAATTCGAAACACACTCAAGATTCTAAATAAACTAAAGTTCGATGGTTCTAAATAGAAGACAGATCTAACAAAGTCTAAAAAATTATAAAGATCTTGGAGGTACTAATGATCCTTGAGATTGTAAAAATTCTAAACTTTTTAAAACTTCTAGTGATCCCAAGAGTCCAAAGTTTCCAAAAATTGGAAAGACGCTAAGTAGCCTGGATTTTAAAGACTAAAAGCTCTAAAGATTCTAAAAACTTTAAATATTCTAAAGAATGTCAAGAATGTCAGGAGTTAGCGTCTTTCTTAACGAATGTTTGCTTCAGTTCTTCTGATTTCATAATTTTAATTTCTCGTTTTTTCCGTTTGTTGCTTTTCCATTTTCCCATTTTTCAGTTTTTAATTTTCACTCACCTGCAGGTGAAACACAGCGTCCGTATGCGTCAACACGACTTTGTTTTTCTTTTTTAATTAATTTGCCACAGTTATCTCGCTACAAAGCCCCACTAATAGCAATAACGATCCAATTATGATTCCATTTTTTGAGCCGTCGCTAGATTGTGTTTTTGAAGCACGTTCGAAACTAATTGTTGACATGGAACGCGAACCGAATAAACCACCAAAGCGAAATGCGATCCCATTCCTGGAATAATTTTATAGTTTTCAATGGAATTTTCTGTTTCAGGAGGGTTCACATAACGAGAGCCACTCTCCATCAGTTGGGGGATCGCTTTCAAGTGGAGCCTGGGGACGGAATCGGAAGGGAGTCGTACTTGGCGGACCATAAGATCGAGACTTTTCTCATTGTTCCGCCAAAGGTTCGTTTTTACGCCATTACTATAGAGCGGATTTATAAGCACAAAAAATTAAGAATAAGCGCTTAAATAAGCACAACATTTTCAATAAAAAAGTTTTATTTTAAGCAAAAAAGCATTAAAAACATAATCATATTACAAATCAAAGAACGCTTCTTGGAACTTTGGATAAAATATTATTACAATAATCCTAGACTTTGTATTTTACACACGTATTTCAGTTTTCTTTAAAACAATTTCTGATTGAAATATGTTCCAAGTTGTCCACTGTAAAATTTTTTCGCCGATCATTTAAAATGTGTTTAAAATTGGAGAATGTGCGTTCAATATCCACACTCGTTGGCGCAAATTTGAATTTTGCAACTAATGTTGAATCTAACTCCAAATTTTCCACCTTCTGGCCTTGTAAAACACGAGCAATCGGGACCAGCATACGTACATTTTTTTACGACATATTTTTTTTTATGAATTCTTTGTCTAAGACGAGCTTGTTTCATAGACGAGCAATATTTTTTTGTTATTAAACCTGGAGAGGAAATTAATCACAATATATTTACTTATCCCCTCTAAAAAATTCATGACGTCACCTCAAAATTTTGCTGAATAAATCCTATCTAAAATGTACAAAATATGATGAGTCTCTTCTTGTAATTTATCACCCCATTCATATTTTTTGAATTCGGATATATAGGGTGACTCAAAAAATTTAATGAATGCGCAAATTTATTTTGTTGATTTAATCAGGAACTACAAAAGTGAATGCTTTGAAATCTAATGTGAAAAAAAACATTATAGGCATGCAGTCGTCACGTTTCCGATGGCGAGGGAAGTACTGTCTAAACTCCTTAAACCCATTTTTTTTTATTTTCCCATTTCTCCATTTCTCAATTTTTCAATGTTTCAGTTTGGGATTTTTTCACTGTTTCGATTCTTTAATTTTCCGTCCATTTTTAGGTTTTGCAATTTTTCGTTTCTTTATTTTCCAAATTTTTGATATTGTGTTGTCTCGGTTTTGAAATTTTTCGATATTTTAATTTTTCAGTTTTTAAAGTTTTAGGTTTTTAGATCTCTCACTATCTCGACTTTTCGATTTTTCAGTTCCGTGATTTTCCAATTTGTCGAATTTTTAAACTTTAGATGTTTTGTTGTCTTTGATGTTTTGAGTTCTCGATCATTCGGTTTTCTGAGTTTTCAGGCTTAGATTTTTTTTGTTGTTCGATTCTTGAATTTTTAAAATTTTTGTTTTTTAAATTTTCCTATTTATCAACTTACTGGGATTTCAATGTTTTGATTTTTTGATTGTTCAATTTCTCGATTTTTTGAATTTTTAGTTTTTGATACGATTTTTTTTTCAAAAATTTTCAGTTTATCAATTTATTAACTTTACGATACTTCAGTTTTGCTCGATTTCGATTTCTCAATTTTTATACATATTACTTTTGGGATTTTTCAATTTATCTCGATTCTCCATATTTTCGGTTTCTCGAATTTCTCAATTTTCCGATGTTTCAGTTTTACGATTTTTAATTTTTTTTTATTTTTCAGTTTTCGATTTTTGACGTTTCTAAATTTTTCGATTTCTCAATTTTTCGATTAACTGATTTTTTGATTTTCCGATTTCTCTATTTCTCGATTTTTCAATTATTTCTTCAATTGTGATTTTTTAATTTTTCGATTTCTGAATTTTTCAATGTCTCAGTTTTGGATTTTTCACTTTTCCGATTCTTCAATTTTCTTTCCATTTTTCAGTTTTTCATTTAAAATATTTCAATTTTTCAATTGTTAACTTTTCGATTTTTCAATTTTGGTCTAATTTGATTTCTTAATTTTTTTATTTTTTGACTCCTTTACTGTTGATGTTTTGATTTCTCGATGTTTCAGTTTTTGAACATTCCGATGTTTCGATTTTTCGACTTTTTGGCTTTCCGAGTGTTCAATTTTTTGATTTTTGAATTTTCCTATTTATCAACTTACTGGGATTTCAATGTTTTGATTTTTGGATTGTTCAATTTCTCGATTTTTTGAATTTTTAGTTTTTGATACGATTTTTTTTCAAAAATTTTCTGTTTATCAATTTATTAACTTTACGATACTTCAGTTTTGCTCGATTTCGATTTCTCAATTTTTATACATATTACTGTTGGGATTTTTCAATTTATCTCGATTCTCCATATTTTCGGTTTCTCGAATTTCTTCATTTTTCGATTTCTCAATTTTCCGATGTTTCAGTTTTACGATTTTTATTTTTTTTTTATTTTTCAGTTTTCGATTTTTGACGTTTCTAAATTTTTCGATTAACTGATTTTTTGATTTTCCGATTTCTCTATTTCTCGATTTTTCAATTCTTTCTTCAATTGTGATTTTTTAATTTTTCGATTTCTGAATTTTTCAATGTCTCAGTTTTGGATTTTTCACTTTTCCGATTCTTCAATTTTCTTTCCATTTTTCAGTTTTTCAAGATTTCAGTTTTGAATTTTGTCACTTTTTCGATTTTTCAATTTTCCTTCCATTTTTCAGTTTTTCAGTATTTCATTTCTGGGATTTTGCAATGTTTCGGTTCCTCAATTTTTCCATTTCTTGATGTTTCGATTTCTCGGTTTTTCAATTTTTCGATAGGTATTTTAATATTTCAATTTTTTAGTTCTAGATTTTCCGTTAAGTTTTTTGATTTCCTTGATGTTTTGATTTCTCGATTACTCGACTTTTCAAGTTCTCGGTTTAGATTTTTTGGTTTTTCAATTCTTCGATTTTTAAATTGTTTAATTTTTAGTTTGTTCAATTTCTCGATTTTTAGATTTTTCAATTTTTCGGTTTACCGATTTTTTTTTCATTTAAAATATTTCAATTTTTCGACTGTTAACTTTTCGATTTTTCAATTTTGGTCTAATTTGATTTCTTATTTTTTTTATTTTTTGACTCCTTTACTGTTGATGTTTTGATTTCTCGATGTTTCAGTTTTTGAACATTCCGATGTTTCGATTTTTCGACTTTTTGGCTTTCCGAGTGCTCAATTTTTTGATTTTTGAATCTTAGATTTTTGTTGTTTTGATTTTTTTGGTGTTTCGATTTTCCAATTCTTCAATTTTTCGATATTTTAATTTTTCAATTTTTCGGGCTTTTAAATTTTTGATTTTTCTTTTCTTTTATTTCTCAATTTTAAAAATCGAAAAATGTAAAATTTAAAAAATCCAAAAATCGAGAAATAAAAGAAAAGAAAAATCAAAAATTTAAAAGCCCGAAAAATTGAAAAAATTGGGAAATCGAAACAACAAAAATCTAAAATTCAAAAATCAAAAAATTGAACATTCGAAAAGCCAAAAAGTCGAAAAATCGAAACATCGGAATGTTCAAAAACTGAAACATCGAGAAATCAAAACATCTACAGTAAAGGAGTTAAAAAATCAAAAAATTAAGAAATCAAATTAGACAAAAATTGAAAAATCGAAAAGTTAATAATTGAAAAATTGAAACATTTTTAATGAAAAAAAAATCGGTAAACCGAAAAATTGAAAAATCTGAAAATCGAGAAATTGAACAATCTAAAAATTGAACAATTTAAAAATCGAAGAATTGGAAAACCAAAAAATCTAAACCGAGGACTTGAAAAATCGAATAATCGAGAAATCAAAACATCGACGAAAACAAAAAAATTAACGGAAAATCTAGAACTGAAAAATTGAAATATTAAAATACCTATCGAAAAATGGAAAAATTGAAGAACCGAAACATTGCAAAATCCCAGAACTGAAATACTGAAAAACTGAAAAATGGAAGGAAAATTGAAAAATCGAAAAAGTGACAAAATTCAAAACTGAAATCTTGAAAAACTGAAAAATGGAAAGAAAATTGAAGAATCGGAAAAGTGAAAAAATCCAAAACTGAAACATTGAAAAATTCAGAAATGGAAAAATTGAAAAATCACAATTGAAGAAAGAATTGAAAAATCGAGAAATAGAGAAATGGGAAAATCAAAAAATCAGTTAATCGAAAAATTGAGAAATCGAAAAATTTAGAAACGTCAAAAATTGAAAACTGAAAAATAAAAAAAATTAAAAATCGTAACACTGAAACATCGGAAAATTGAGAAATCGAAAAATGAAGAAATTCGAGACCCCGAAAATTTGAAGAATCGAGAAATCGAAGAATCGATAAATTGAAAAATCCCAACAGTAATATGTCGAAAAATTGAAATATCGAAATCGGGCAAAACTGAAGTACCGTAAAGTTAATAAATTGAAAAACTGAAAATTTTTGAAAAAAAAATCGTTTCAAAAACTAAAAATTCACAAAATCGAGAAATTGAACAATCAAAAAATCAAAACATTGAAATTCCAGTAAGTTGATAAATAGGAAAACAAAAATTTTCAAAATCCAAGGATTGAACAAAAAAAAATATAAGCCTGAAAACTCAGAAAATCGAATGATCGAGAACTCAATACATCAAATAAAACAAAAAATCTAAAATTTAAAAATTCGACAAATTGAAAAATCAGGGAACTGAAAAAGAGAAAAATCGAGATAGTGAGAAATCGAAAAACCCAAAACTTTAAAAACTGAAAAATTAAAATATCGAAAAATTAAAAAACCGATCAAAATCAAAAATTTGAAAAATTGAACAAACGAAATATTGCAAAATTCCAAAGCTGAAATATTGAAAAACCTAAAAATGGAAGGAAAATTAAAGAATCGGAAAAGTGAAAAAATCCAAAATTGAAACATTGAAAAATTCAGAAATGGAAAAATTGAAAAATCACAATTGAAGAAAGAATTGAAAAATCGAGAAATAGAGAAATGGGAAAATCAAAAAATCAGTTAATCGAAAAATTGAGAAATCGAAAAATTTAGAAACGTCAAAAATTGAAAACTGAAAAATAAAAAAAATTAAAAATCGTAACACTGAAACATCGGAAAATTGAGAAATCGAAAAATGAAGAAATTCGAGACCCCGAAAATTTGAAGAATCGAGAAATCGAAGAATCGATAAATTGAAAAATCCCAACAGTAATATGTCGAAAAATTGAAATATCGAAATCGGGCAAAACTGAGGTACCGTAAAGTTAATAAATTGAAAAACTGAAAATTTTTGAAAAAAAAAATCGTTTCAAAAACTAAAAATTCAAAAAATCGAGAACTTGAACAATCGAAAAATCAAAACATCCAAAAATCGAAACATTAAAAATATCAAAAAATTAAAATATCTGAAAATTGAAAATCCAGAAATTGAAAAGTTTTCAAAATTCAAACCCTGAAAAATTGAGTATTGAAAACTTGAAAAATTGAGAAATCCAAACATCAAAAAATAGTAAAATCGAAAAATGTGAAATTTAAAAAATCCAAAAATTGAGAAATAAAAGAAAAGAAAAATCCAAAATTTAAAAATTCGAAAAATTGAAAAATTAAAATATCGAAAAATTGAAGAATTGGGAAATCGAAACACCAAAAAATTAAAAAAAAACAAAAATCTAAAACTCAAAAATCAAAAAATTGAACATTCGAAAAGCCAAAAAGTCGAAAAATCGAAACATCGGAATGTTCAAAAACTGAAACATCGAGAAATCAAAACATCTACAGTAGAGCAGTCAAAAAATCAAAAAATTAAGAAATCAAAATAGACCAAAATTGAAAAATCGAAAAGTTAATAATTGAAAAATTGAAACATTTTTAATGAAAAAAAATAGGTAAACCGAAAAATTGAAAAATCTAAAAATCGAGAAATTGAACAATCTAAAAATTGAACAATTTAAAAATCGAAGAATTGGAAAACCAAAAAATCTAAACCGAGAACTTGAAAAATCGAATAATCGAGAAATCAAAACATCAACGAAAACAAAAAAATTAACGGAAAATCTAGAATTTAAAAATTGAAAAGTTAAAATACCTATTGAAAAATTGAAAAACCGAGAAATCGAAACATCAAAAAATGGAAAAATTGAAGAACCGAAACATTGCATAATACCAGAACTGAAATACTGAAAAAATGAAAAATGGAAGGAAAATTGAAAAATCGAAAAAGTGAAAAAATTCAAAACTGAAATCTTGAAAAACTGAAAAATGGAAAGAAAATTGAAGAATCGGAAAAGTGAAAAAATCCAAAACTGAAACATTGAAAAATTCAGAAATGGAAAAATTGAAAAATCACAATTGAAGAAAGAATTGAAAAACCGAGAAATAGAGAAATGGGAAAATCAAAAAATCAGTTAATCGAAAAATTTAGAAACGTCAAAAATCGAACTGAAAAATAAAAAAAAATTAAAATCGTAACACTGAAACATCGGAAAATTGAGAAATCGAAAAATGAAGAAATTCGAGAAACCGAAAATATGAAGAATCGAGAAATCGAAGAATCGAGAAATCGAAGAATCGATAAAGTGAAAAATCCCAACAGTAATATGTCGAAAAATTGAGAAATCGAAATCGGGCAAAACTGAAGTACCGTAAAGTTAATAAATTGAAAAACTGAAAATTTTTGAAAAAAAAATCGTTTCAAAAACTAAAAATTCAAAAAATCGAGAACTTGAACAATCGAAAAATCAAAACATCCAAAAATCAAAACATTAAAAAAATCAAAAAATTAAAATATCTGAAAATTGAAAATCCAGAAATTGAAAAGTTTTCAATATTCAAACCCTGAAAAATTGAGTATCGAAAACTTGAAAAATTGAGAAATCCAAGCATCAAAAAATAGTAAAATCGAAAAATGTAAAATTTAAAAAATCCAAAAATTGAGAAATAAAAGAAAAGAAAAATCCAAAATTTAAAAATTCGAAAAATTGAAAAATTATAATATCGAAAAATTTAAGAATTGGGAAATCGAAACACCAAAAAATTAAAAAAAAACAAAAATCTAAAATTCAAAAATCAAAAAATTGAACATTCGAAAAGCCAAAAAGTCGAAAAATCGAAACATCGGAACTTTCAAAAACTGAAACATCGAGAAATCAAAACATCAACAGTAGAGGAGTCAAAAAATCAAAAAATTAAGAAATCAAATTAGACCAAAATTGAAAAATCTAAAAGTTAATAATTGAAAAATTGAAACATTTTTAATGAAAAAAAATCGGTAAACCGAAAAATTGAAAAATCTAAAAATCGAGAAATTGAACAATCTAAAAATTAAACAATTTAAAAATCGAAGAATTGGAAAACCAAAAAATCTAAACCGAGAACTTGAAAAATCGAATAATCGAGAAATCAAAACATCAACGAAAACAAAAAAATTAACGGAAAATCTAGAACTTAAAAATTGTAAAACTAAAATACCGACCGAAAAATTGAAAAACTGAGAAATCGAAACATCAAAAAATGGAAAATTTGCAAAATCCCAGAACTGAAATACTGAAAAACCGAAAAATGGAAGGAAAATTGAAGAATCGGAAAAGTGAAAAAATCCAAAATTCAGAAATGGAAAAATTGAAAAATCACAATTGAAGGAAGAATTGAAAAATCACAATTGAAGGAAGAATTGAAAAATCGAGAAATAGAGAAATGGGAAAATCAAAAAATCAGTTAATCGAAAAATTGAGAAATCGAAAAATTTAGAAACGTCAAAAATTGAAAACTGAAAAATAAAAAAAATTAAAAATCGTAACACTGAAACATCGGAAAATTGAGAAATCGAAAAATGATGAAATTCGAGAAACCGAAAATATGAAGAATCGAGAAATCGAAGAATCGATAAATCGAAGAATCGATAAATTGAAAAATCCCAACAGTAATATGTCGAAAAATTGAAATATCGAAATCGGGCTTGAAGTACCGTAGAGTTAATAAATTGAAAAACTGAAAATTTTTGAAAAAAAAATCGTTTCAAAAACTAAAAATTCACAAAATCGAGAAATTGAACAATCAAAAAATCAGAACATTGAAATTCCAGTAAGTTGATAAATAGGAAAACAAAAATTTTCAAAATCCAAGGATTGAACAAAAAAAATATATAAACCTGAAAACTCGAATGATCGAGAACTCAATACATCAAATAAAACAAAAAATCTAAAATTTAAAAATTCGACAAATTGAAAAATCATGGAACTGAAAACTCGAAAAATCGAGATAGTGAGAAATCGAAAAACCCAAAACTTTAAAAACTGAAAAATTAAAACATCGAAAAATTAAAAAACCGATCAAAATCAAAAATTTGAAAAATTGAAGAAACGAAATATTGCAAAATTCCAAAACTGAAATATTGAAAAACCTAAAAATGGAAGGAAAATTAAAGAATTGCAACAGTGAAAAAATCCAAAACTGAAACATTGAAAAATTGAGAAATGGAGAAATGGGAAAATCAAAAAAATTGGTCTAAAGAGTTTAGACAGTACTTCCCTCGCCATCGGAAACGTGACGACTGCATGCCTATTATGTTTTTTTTCACATTAGAATTCAAAGCATTCGGTTTTGCAGTTCCTCATTAAATCAAAAAAATTAATTTTCACACAAGGTCTGCAGAATATTTTGTTGTTTTCTAATTTTAATTCTGGGAAATTCCTTATCCAGTCAGCCGGCGTCGATTTTGCTTACAGAAAGGATTTTGAGTAAGTGTACTCAATGGTCAAGTCCAGGTAAAATGCATACGATACGATACGCCTAACTAACAAGTATTTGTCATCCCGACAAGGCCGGCATTTGAACAAAATATGCATTAAAACTCATATTCGTCGAAAAAAGCATTAAATAAGCATATAAGTTTTAATTTGTATAAAATTGAAAAAAAAGCAAATAAGCATAAAAAAAAATGTGTCAAATGACTCCAAATTGTATCATAGTTACAGATATAAAAAAGTTTTGAAGTGCTTACATTTTTCACAAAAAGCTCTCTAGTCGTTACTGAAAATCGTGAATATAATGGACTCAGTCGGGGTCTTTGAAAACACAAGTGTAGTAAAAATATTTGCATATCCGCCAACATTACAACGCAAAACACGTCCTATTTAAAGTCCACGAATTATGATCCATTACGCCTTATTGTTTAGAATTCCCCTAAAAGGTTTACATTTGAAACAAATGGATCCACTCCAGCCATATCCATATCCGCGGCACATCCTCCAAAAACCTTTCTCTATATCCCACACATCACGTAGATCCCAATAGTTTCAATTACGTTTTGCCCGACTCAACATTAATCTTCGTGACACCTCCTATTTGTTGCACGCTACCTGCGTCTTTCAAACTCCGCCACATTATTTGATTTATCCCGAAAGAAATGGAAATGTCGGAATCCGCATTAAGCACGAAAAATCGCAAATAAATAACGCAAATATTTCACGTTTAACGTATAGTAAGCGTATTTATCCTCCTTCCACCTCTTCACAGAGGGAATCCAATTTTCATACGCAGCATAAATGGAAATTGCGAGATAATGTTACGCCATCGGCTTTATTGTTGTTTGTTTTCGGCGTTTACTCTTCTGGGAGGATTTCAATTTGCGTTTTTACTGTAATTCGGCTTTCCCCACACCGGGAGAATCGTCGCTGTTTAAGGACCCCTTTTTAATAAATTCCAGAAACCCGAATCGGAGGCGCAGAACGGGAACGCGAAGCCGCCCCTGGCGCTGTCCGACCGCCACAACAGTATCTGCGGCGACGGCATGTACGGCATGGCCACCCCCAGCGGGCCGCCCACCAGGTCGCGGCCCTCGAGCAAGATGACCAAGTACGTGGAGTGCTGGGGGGCGGATAAGCCCTTCGCCAACATCGCCGAGTCGACGCTGGCGAAGAACATCGAATTGACGGTAAATAAACGTTGTTTTTTCGAAAGTTGATTTTTAGAAGCTATATTTCGTAATTACTTTGTTGTTTGAAGAGGATTGGGATTCACAAAGCGATAAATTATGTATAAAAGGAAATTGTTTTAGGGGAATTTGTTTTTTGGGTGTCGTGGGCGAGTGAGTTTGCTTAGGATGGCAAATAGGCGGAGATGATTGGGATTTTTAAGCGGTTTCTGATTTATTAAGTTCGGAAAGGTCACAAAAGAGCATTCGTTTTAGAATGTTTTACATATTGCGGTGGAAATTATTTCAACGACCACTTTTGCGGGAAAACGCGATGAAAAATGATCATCCTCGGGAGGGATATTTATGGTGATGCACTTCTGTGCACTCTGTGTACACCGTATGACATTTTCATGAAAATGGATTTTTGGTTTAACGTCACGAAGGAAATTTATATAGAATTTCTAGCAAAAACGAAAACCTAGAAAGTCGCTACGTTCGTAACCTTTGAACTCAAAAGTGTAACGCAAATCAATATACAGAGATGCAGCAAATGGTTTCTACATAGACATGTTTCATCATCCGCTATGTAGAAGGTTTTTTAAATTTTGTAAAATAAAATACTCCTCCACTTGTAGGTTATGAACCCGTGTTAAATTTTTAGCCTAGGCACCCATATTTTTGTAAGAAAATCAAAATTGTACTACATTTTACAATTAATTACTTTGAATTTCAAAAACCGAATTTTGCCGAATAAATCTAAAACATGCACGATAATTCTAGACATTATATAAAATTTAAAGTTCTAAGCCTTTCAACAATCTAAAATCTCTAAGTCTACAAGGATTTCAGGAATTTGAAAAATTTCACAGATTCCAGATATTTAAAAGCTGAAAAGGTCCTAAAATGCTAAAAATCTAAAAATCTTACAAATTCGAAAGGTATTGAATTGTCTAGAAATTGTGAAAATCTGAAAGTTCTAAATATTGTAGAAATTCCAGTGGTGCTTGAGATTCTAAAGATTCTAAAGTTTCCAATGGTTTCAAAGATTCAAAAGATTTTAAAGACCTTAAACTGCGAGACTAGAAACTGCGAATTGTAAAAAGACTAAAGATTCTAAATAAACTAAAGTTCTAATATTCTGAATATAAGTAAGAACCAACAAAATCTTCAAAATTTTAAATAACCTAGAGAAAATGTTACTAGAAATTGTAAAAAAATCTAAACTTTATAAAACTTCTAGTAATTCCAAAGATTAGAAAGACTCTAAGCACTCTGGATTTTAGAAAGTCTAAGGAGCCTAAAGAGTCTAAAGGGTCCAAAGAGTCCAAAGAATCCAAATAACCTAAAGAATCCAAAGAATTGGAAGAATCGAAAGGATCGAGAGGATCGAAAGAATCGGAAGGATCTAAATTATCTAAAGGATTGAAAGATCGAAAGGATCTGAAGGATCAATAGGATCTAAAGAATCAAAAAGATCAAAAGGATCTAAACGATCAGAAATATTAGAAGAATCAGAAAGACCTTAAGGTCCAAAAGGTTCAAAAGGATTAAAAGGGTCAAAAGGATCGCAGAGATCAAAAAAATCAAAAGGATCTAAACATACAAAAGTATCAAAAGGATACAAAGGATCCAAAGGATCAAAAGAATCAAAAGTATGTAAATGATCTAAAGGGTCAAAGGGGTCTAAAGGATCTAAAGGAACTAAAGGTTCTAAAGGTTCTAAAGGATCTAAAGGATCTAAAGGATCTAAAGGATCTAAAGGATCTAAAGGATCTAAAGGATCTAAAGGATCTAAAGGATGTAAAGGATCTAAAGGATCTAAAGGATCTAAAGGATCTAAAGGATCTAAAGGATCTAAAGGATCTAAAGGATCTAAAGGATCTTAAGGGTCTAAAGGATCTAAAGGATCTAAAGGATCTAAAGGATCTAAAGGATCTAAAGGATCTAAAGGATCTAAAGTTTCTAAAGGATCTGAAGAATCTGAAGAGTCTGAAGAATCCGAAGAATCCAAAGAATCCGAAAAATCTGAAGAATCTATGAGTCTAAAGATTTCAAGTACTCTAAAAATTGTAAAATTCTAAAGCTTTTAAAGGCTCAAAAGAATCAAAAAGATCTAAAGGATCGAACGGATCTAAAGGATGTAAAGGATGTAAAGGATCTAAAGGATCTAAAGGTTTAAAAGGATCAAAGGGATCAAAAGTATCAACTGCATCAAAAAGATCAAACGTCGGAAGGATCAGAAGGATCGAAAAGATCGAAAGATTTAAAGAATGTGATGGATCGAAAGGATCGAAAAGACCAAATGGATCCAAAGAATCAAAAGGATCAAAAGGATCAAAAACATTAAAAGGATCAAAGGGATCAAAAGTATTAAAAGCATCAAAAAGATCAAACGTCGGAAGGATCAGAAGGATCGAAAAGATCGAACGATTTAAAGAATCTGATGGATCGAAAGGATCGAAAAAACCAAATGGATCCAAAGAATCAAAAGGATCAAAAGGATCAAAAGGATCAAAAGGATCAAAAGGATCAAAAGGATTAAAAGGATCAAGGGGATCAAAAGTATCAACAGCATCAAAAAGATCAAACGGTTGAAAATGGTCAATAGGATCAAAAAGATCAAAAGGTTCAAGAGGATCGAAAAGGATCAACAGGATCAAAAGGATCAAAAGGATCAAAGGGATCAAAAGTATCAACACCATCAAAAAGATCAAACGTTTCAAAATGGTTAATTGGGTAAAAATGATTAAACGGTTCAAAAGGATCAAATATGATCAACAGTATCAAAATGATCAAAAAGATCAAAAGGATTTAAAAGATTCGAAGGTTCCAAAGGTCCAAAAAGATCAAAAGGATCATAATGTTCAACAGGATCCAAAGGATCGAAAAAATCTAAAGGATCAAACGAATCTAAAGGAAAGGATTAAAACGATCAAAAGGATCTAAAGGATCAAAAGAATCTAAAGGATCAAAAGGATCAAAAGAATCGAAAAGAAATAAGGATCGAAAGGATCTGAAAGATCTAAAAAATCTAAAGGATCAACAGAATCGAAAGGAAAGGATCAAAAGGATCAAAAGTAGCAAAAGCTTCAAAAGAATCGAAAGGATCTAAAGGATCAAAAGGATCAAAGGGATCAAAAAGGTTCAAAATGGCAAATAGGGTCAAAAGGTTCAAAAGGATCAACAGGATCAAAAGGTGCAAAAGGATAAAAAGGATGAAAAGGATGACAAGGATTAAAAGGATCGAAAGGATCAAAAGGATCAAAAAGATTTAAAGGTTCAAAAGAATTTAAAGTATCCGAAGGTTCTAAAGGACCAAAAATATCAAAAGTATCATAATGATCAAAAGGATCCAAAGGATCGAAAAGATTTAAAGGATCGAAAGGATCACAAAAATCGAAAGGAAAGGATCAAAAGGATCGCAAGCTTCAAAAGGATCTAAAGGATTCAAATGATCTAAAGGATCATAAACATCTAAAGGATCGAATTTATCTAAAGGATCAAAAAAATCGAAAAGAAAGTATCGAAAGGATCGAAAGGATTGAAAAGATCTAAAGGATCTAAAGGATGTGAAGAATCGAAAGGAAAGGATTAACAGGATCTAAAGGACCAAAAGGATTAAAAGCTTCAAAAGGATCTAAAGCATCCAAAGGATTAAAAGGATTTAAAAGATCTAAAAGATCTAAAGGATCGAAATTATCTAAAGGATAAAAAGAATCGAAAAGAAAGGATCGAAACTATATAAAGAATCAAAAGAATCGAAAAGAAAGGATCAAAAGGAATTAAGGAAGCAAAAGGATCAATAGGGGCAAATAGTTCAAGAAGATCAAAAGGATCAAAAAGATGCAAATTATCAAAAGAAATAAAGGGATTTAAAGGATCGAAAGAATCGGAAAGATCGAAAGGTTCAAAAAGATCAAAAGAATCAAAAGGATCAAAAGGATCTAAACGGACCAAAGTATCTAAAGGATCTAAAAGATGTAAAGAATCGAAAGAATCTAGACGATCGAAGTTATCTAAAGAATCAAAAGAATCGAAACGATCGAAAGGATCTAAAGAATCAAAAAGATCAAATGGGTCAAAAGGATTTAAAGGATCTAAAGGACTAAAAAGATCAAAAGGATCATAATGATCAACAGGATGCAAATGATCAAAAGAATTAAAGGGATTTAAAGGATCGAAAGAATCGGAAAGATCAAAAAGTTCAGAAAGATCAAAAGGATCAAAAAGATCAAAAGGATCAAAAAGATCAAAAGAATCAAAAGGATCAGAAAGATCTAAAGGATTTAAAGTTCAAAAGGACTTAAAGGATCCGAAGGTTCCAAAGGAACAAAAAGATCAAAAGGATCATAATGATCAAAAGGATCCAAAGGATCTAAAGATCGAAAGAACCGAAAGGATCGAAAGATTTATAGGATCTAATGGATCTAAAGGGTCGAAAAGATCTACAGGATCAAAAGAATCTAAAGGATCGAAGTTATCTAAAGAATCAAAAGAATCAAAAGAATCGAAAGGATCGAAAGGATCTAAAGAATCAAAAGGATCAAATGGGTCAAATAGTTCAAGAGGATCAAAATGGATCCAAATGATCAAAAGAATCAAAAGGATTTAAAGGATTTAAAGGATCAAAAGGATCGAATGATTCGAAAGGATCGGAAGGATCGAAAGGATCGAAAAGATGAAAAAGATCAAAAGGATCAAAAGGATCAAAAGGATCTACAGGATCAAAAGGATCTAAAGGATCGGAATTATCTAAAGGATCGAAATAATCTAAAGGATCAAAAGAATCGAAAAGAAAGGATCGAAAGGATCTAAAGAATCAAAAGGATCAGTAGGGGCAAATAGTTCAAGAAGATCAAAAGAATCAAAAGGATGCAAATGATCAAAAGAAGTAAAGGGAATAAAGGATTTAAAGGATCGAAAGAATCAGAAAGATCGAAAGGTTCAAAAAGATCAAAAGGTTCAAAAGGATCAAAAGGATCAAAAGCATCTGAAGGATCAAAAGGATTTAAAGTTCAAAAGGACTTAAAGGATCCGAAGGTTCCAAAGGACTAAAAAGATCAAAAGGATGCAAATGATCAAAAGAATTAAAGGTATTTAAAGGATTTAAAGTATCGAAAGAATCGGAAAGATCAAAAGGTTTAAAAAGATCAAAAGGATCACAAGGATCCAAAGGATCAAAAGGATCAGAAAGATCAAAAGGATCATAATGATCAAAAGAATCTAAAGATCTAAAGAACCGAAAGGATCGAAAGATTTATAGGATCTAATGGATTTAAAGGGTCGAAAAGATCTATAGGATCAAAGGAATCGAAAGGAAAGGATCGAAAGGATCCAAAGGATGAAAAGGGTCAAAAGTATGTAAATGATCTAAAGGATTAAAAGGTTCAAAAAGGTCCAAAGTGTCTAAAGCATCTAAAAGATCTAAAGATTCGAAAGAATCTAAAGGATCGAAGTTATCTAAAGAACCAAAAGAATCGAAACGATCGAAAGGATCTAAAGAATCAAAAGGATCATGGGTCAAATAGTTCAAGAGGACCAAAAGGACCTAAAGGATCCAAATGATCATAAGGATTTAAAGGATCAAAAGGATCGAATGAATCGAAAGGATCGGAAGGACCGAAAGATGTAAAGGACCCAAAGGATCAAAAGAATCTAAAGAATCTAAAGTGTTTAAAGCTTCTAAAGACTTCAAGTACTCTAAATAATCTAAAATTCTAAAGATTTTAAGGGCTCTGAAGAATCTAAAAACTATAGAGACTCTAAAGACTTCAAGGACTCAAAAGTTAAACAGATTTTTAAAATTGTGTTTCAAATATTTCAAAGATTCTAAAGGTTCTAAAGAAATACCAGAAATTCCAAAGATATTAAAACTTGTAAAATCCCTTGAACTTTTAAAATGCGAAAGATTTTAAAGATTCCAAAGACTCTATAGAAAACAAGAATCTTAAAAACCTAATAGAAATCGTAAAGATCTGAAGAATGCTTTCTTTCATTTTTACAAATTCTAAAAGCATTATAGGTCTTTAACACCCTAATTATTATCTTATAAATCTTAGAGATTGTAAAGATTCCCGAGATTCCAAAAAGATTTTTAGAGACTCTTGAGGTACACAGACTTTGGAAAATCCGGAAAAATTTAAAAAGTGGGAAAAATGTAGTATACCTACTTGGAAATCTTGAAAATTTCGGAAAAGGTCGAATTTCGAAATTCTGGCAAAACTAGAGCACGGTGATTTTAGAAAAATTTGCAAAATCTGGAAATTTGGGGCATTTTGTGCATTTTGGAAAATCTGAAAATTCTAGAAATTTTGCAAATTATGAAAATTCAGAATAATAAAAGAAAACAAAAATTATAAAAATCTCAAAATTTCAAAACTTTATAAAACTTCTAGTAATTCCGAAAGTGTCCAAAATTTCCCCGAGTTTGAAGACTCGTAAACACTCTAAAAACTAAAAACTCCTAAGAACTCAAAGACTTTTAAAATTCTGTTTCAAAATATCTCAAAGATTCATTAAAGGATATAAAAAAAATCCAAATTTCCAAAGATTCAAAAACTCGCAAAAATCGCTTGAACTCTTAAATTGCCAAATATTTAAAGAATCCAAAGACTCTAAAGAAAACAAACATCTAAAAATCGTGAAGATCCTAGAAATTTCAAAAATTCGAAAGATTAAGAGAATAGGAAAAATGTGGTGGACCTAGAAATTCTAAACATTTTACTCAACTTGTGAAAATATTCCAAATACTGAGAAAATAAACTGTAAAAAAACATCATCATAACATATAACGCTAATAGACACAACAAATAAATGCATCTTCTAACAAAAGCTTTCCTTTTTCAGTCCGGATCGTATCAAAAGGTCGGTTTGTAAACTGTGTTCCACGTTTGGACGTTTGAACTTCCACTTGTCTAGAATTAGTGACTTAACGACGTTTAACTGGTTGCATACCCGGTTTCTATGATTGACGCACTAACAATCAGCATCGAGCTTAAAATGACAAAGTTCTCGTAGTTAGACGCCTTTAGCCTAAAACGGGGCCGTCCAAAAAGTACCCCTCACAAACTACTTAATATAATATAACCGAGAAATTCAAATTGTTCAGTTATCCTGTTTGTGTTTGCACAAAACGCTACTTTTTCGACGTCCTCTCCGCTTTCCGCTTCTTCACACGCCGCCACCGCCGAGCTTAAACCAATTTGTTTCCACAGACACTGGCCATGATTGAGTCTAACCTCCTGCCGGACCGAAACACGTGTTTGGAGTGCAAGTGAGTGTGTTAACGATTGCAGCAACTCCGTCTTCATTTCCTCCGCGATTTCATTTCTCGTTTCCCCTTCGAATTTTCGCAGGAAGTCCTGGAACAGCGAAGATTTGCATCCAGCGCTCCTGTGGTTCCGGAATAGGAAGATCGAGAACGAGTACCGGAGCCAGCCCGACGCGGAGTTCCGGTGCTACATAGCTTTCGCCAGCTGCGTGTTCCTGGCCATGTGCATCATGCAGGTGGCTACGATTCCACGGTAAGAAAATGATTGCAGGAAAATTCCGGTGTTTTCGTTCGCAAATTGAACAAAAAGAACAGACGAAATCGAGTGTTGTTTTATTTTGTCGATACGACATTAACTTCGCGCTTCATTTACCCTAAACTACAATTTCCTCTCCCAGACAAGCTCTCACACGCGTTTTGTAGGTAATCACCTGTCCTAAATAATCTCGCTAAACCCTTGATGAAGCACAGATAGCTTCTTTGGTGCCTAAAGTAAATTCGCTTTCAGCATGGTGCACGGACACGCCGCACGAAATACTTAAAAGTGGCTTAATTCCTGAAATTTCATAATTAAATATGCAGATTTATCCGCACTCATTTGATTATTATGCAAAAAGCCACCTTCTAAAGTAATTAGGGGTTGAGAAATTTCGTCGACGGCGCGGTGGTGAAACACTCGAATTAATTATTCATTTTTATGACGGATCTTTTATCGTAATAAGGGTGCTTTTAAGGATGAAAGGAGGACAGTTGCGGGTTTTTAAGTGGGAAATGGGGATGTCGGGATGGACAGCTGCGGGTTCGTTGTACAGGGTGGTTCGTGAGTAATAGTGAAAAAATACGCAGGATTCGTGGATGTATTTTTGTTTGTTATTAACATTAAACAAAGTACAAAGTAATCTCGGGTATTACCATAATTTTGAAATATCACCTTTGAACTTTGCAACAAAAATTTATTTAATTAGTGTTTGCTTTTACATGGATAAAAACATTTTATTTTTGGTGAAGTTTGAGAGATGCGTACAAGTTTTTATTCAAAGCAAAAAATTAAATCGATAACTGGTCGAACTCTAGAAAGAGTAATAAAAAAATACGGTCAACTAAATTACCTAGAAGAATATACAAGATTTTTCATTTTTCTTGTTTCTTCAGTTTTATTTTTCGATTTTTTAGTTTTTTATTTCCCCAAGTTTTTGATTTGCAATTTTTCGTTTTGGTTTTTTATTATTTTAATTTTTATTATTTTTCGATGTTTCAATGTTCTGATTTTTTTCAATTTTTCGTTTCTTCAGTTTTACAATATGCAAATTTCAATTTTCAGATTTCGCAGTTTTTCGATTGCCAGTTTCATGACCTGTCAATTTTTCGATTTTTCAAATTTTCGTGACTTCAATTTTTCGTTTTCAAGGCAATTTTTTTTAGATTTCTGGAATTTTCAATTTTTCGGTTTTCCATTTTTTTAATTTTCAACTTTTAGATTGTTTAATTTTTCGTTTTCAAGGCAAATTTTTTTAGTTTTCTGGAATTTTCAATTTTTCAATTTGCAATTTTTCAATTTGCAATTTTTCGGTTTTCCATTTTTTTAATTTTCAACTTTTAGATTGTTTAATTTTCCGTTTTTTCAAATAAAGGTTTGTCAGTTTAATGATTTTTCAATTTCCTGTTTCAATTTTTAATTTGCAATTTTTCTAATTTTCATTTTAAATATATAATAATGATAACAATAAAAACAAACTTTTCCAATTTCATTTTCCGTTTCTTCTAAATCTTCGACTTTTTTAATTTCCCGTTTTTTCAATTTTCGATTTATCAATTTCACGATTTTTCAATTTTTCGTTTCTCCAATTTTTGATTTGCAATATGTTTAGTTTTCCTTTTAAATTGATAATGAATTCAAAATTTTCAGTTTTTCGATTTTACGACTTTTGGATGTTTCTATTTTTAGATTTTGCAATTTTTCGATTTTTAATTCCAATTTTTCGATTCTTCAATTTTTGGTTTTTAGTTTTTCGTTTTTTCAACTTTTAGATTTTTTAATTTTCCGTTTATTGTATTTTTCAAACTTTGTTATCACTTTCCAATTTTTCGATTTTTAATTTTTCAATGTTTTGATTCTTCAATTTTTGATTTGAAATTTTCGGCTTGCAATTTTTCGTTTCGGTTTTTAAGTTTCTTTATTTTTACAATTTTTCCATTTTTCTATGTTCCGATTTTATACTTTTTTTCCAATTTCTTATTTTTTTTATTTTTCGTTTCTTCAATTCTTCGATTTGCAGTTTTTTGTTTCTCCAATTTTATCACATGCAACTCTTCGAATTTTCAGTTTAAAAGTTTTCTGTTATTGGATTTTCCAACTTTTGAATGTTTCAATTTTTCGTTTTGAAATTTTTCGTTTCGGATTTTCTATATTTCGGTTTTCCAGTGTTCTAATCTAATTTTTCTTTTTTTCATTGTGTATGTTTTAAATTTTTAAATGTTTCGATTTGCAATTTTTTGTTTTTCAATTTTTTTATTTTTCAGTTTTTAGATTTGTTAATTTTTCGTTTTTGGAAAATTGAAAAATCTAAAAAAATGAACAAACTAAAAACTGTAAAATTGGACAATTGAAAAATCGTGTAACTGAAAATTTAGAAGATGAAAAAGTTTAAAACTCAAAAATTTTTAAGATCTACCAATTAAAATTGAAAATTAACAAAAAACAGAAATTGAAAATTTTGGCGAATCGCAAAATCGAAGAATGCAAACAATGAAAAATCCAAAGTTTGAAAATTAAAATATAGAGAAATTTAAAAACTGAACAACTGAAAATCGAGAATTTGGAAAATTGGAAAATTCAAAAATTTTAAAACAAAAAACTTCAAAAATCGAAAAGTTGAAAATTTACTAAAAATCGAAAAATTGCAAAACCAAGAAAATGTAAAAATCAAAAAATTGAAACACTGGATAACCGTAAAATCGAGAAATGAAAAATTTTAAAAATAAAAAAAAAAGTTTAGAATTGGAAAAATCGAATAACTGAAAAACCGGGAAATTGAAAACCGTGAAAAAGCAAAAAGTTGAAAATTGGATAGTGGTAAAATCGAAATTGAAAAACCGAAAAAGGGCGAAATTTTAAAATTGAACAGTCGTAAAATTGTAGAAACAAAAAAATGGAAATTTGAATAATCGTAAAATCGAGAAATTGAAAAACTGGATAATTAGGTATAAATTGGAAAAATGAAAATTTGAAAAACTAAAATTGAAAATTTTTCGATTTTTCAATGTTCCGATTTTATAATTTTTTGTTTTTCCAATTTCAATTTTTTCAATTTTTCGTATCTTCAATTCTTCGAATTTTCAGTTTTTCGATTTTCCAACTTTCGAATGTTTCAATTTTTCGTTCCGTATTTTAATGTCCTCTATTCTTCAGTTTTTTTGGTTTTTGAGCGTTCTAATATAATTTTTCCCTTTTTCAATGTGCATTTTTAAAATTTTTTTATTTTTCAATTTTTTGATTTGCAATTTTTCGGTTTTCAATTTTTTATTTTTCAGTTTTTAGATTTGTTTTTTTTCCAAATTTTATTTGTGTCTCGATTTTTCGCTTTTTGATTTCTTCAATTTTAGATCTACAATTCCTCTAGTTTTCATTATAAATACGTAATAATAATTATAATTTTTAATTTTTTTCATTTTTTTAGTTTTACGTTTTATTGGTTTTTTAATTTTTTCATTTCTCGATTTTTAATTTTTCGATGTTTAATTTTTCAATTTCTCGATATTTAATTTTACAAATTTTCTGAAGAATAATGAAAAAATTGCAAAATTGTAAAATTGTGAAAATCAAAAATGAAAAAACAAAAAAGTATAAAATGAAAACCAAGAACTTGAAAAATTAAAGAAATGAAAAATTGAAAAATCAGACAGTTTCAAGGTTGAGAAGTTTAAAAATTGAAAAAGTGAAAAATCGAAATACTGAAAATAAAAAAAAATCGGATAATTGGAAATTCAAAAATTGCAAAATTGACAATTTTAAAAATTTGAGAATCGAGAAATTGGAAAATCAAAGATTGAAAATCTTAAAAATCGAATAAATGAAAAATTATAACATCGAAAGACACATTGAAAAAATAAAGGAAATGAATAAACGAAAAATTGTGATATTAAATCAAGAAAATAAAGAATTGGGGAAACGAAAAATTAAAAAATCTAAAAATTGAAAAATTTTAATACGGAAAAACTCCGAAATTGAAAAAAATAAAGTCGAAATAATTAAAAATTATGAAATCGAAAGAGTGGAAAATGGAAAAATTTGCAAAATTTAAAAAAAATAAAAAAACAAAAATTTGTAAAATTGAAGAAAAAGAAAATGTGATATCAAAAAATTGGTGAAAGGTAAAAAATGCAGATTTTTCGAAAAATTATAGTTTCGAGTTTGCGAATTTAATTTTTTATGAAAATCGTTATACTTAAGTTAAAATAGTAGTTCATTGTATTGTAATCAATTTTAATCAAAAAATAAATTGCCTCTTTCATTAATTTTTTTGAAACACTCTGTATAAGCAGTTCTAAAATCTATGCTAAATTGTAAAATTGAAAAATTGAAAAAATCCAAAGTTATAAACTTGAAGTCTGAAAATTTTAAAACTGAAAAAATGAAAATTCGAATAATTCAATCTGACAATTGTAAAATCAGAAAATAAAAAACTAGAAAAATTAAAAATAAAAATTTTGAAAATTAAAAATCTAGAAACAGAAAAATTGAAATTTTGTATAATTGTAAAATTGAAAGACAGCGAAATTGGAAAATTAGATTATTGAAAAAAATGAAAACATTGCAGAAGGGCAAATTTGAATTCAAAAAAACTGGAAATTTGAAAAATCGAAAAATGAACGAATGAAAAGTTCGACAATTAAAAAATCGTATAACTGAAAATTTAAAAATTGAAAAATTTTATAACTGAAAATTAAAGTTCTAAAAATTGAAAATCAAACGAAAATCGAGAAATTAAAAAATTTTAAAACCGAAGCTTAAAATTGAAACTTAACTAAAAATCGAGGAATAGAAAAATTTGGAAAATCAAAAAATCGAAAAAGGGATCGAAAATTGAGAATGTGGAAAATTGTAAAATCGAAAAATTGGGAAAACGAACAGTTTTAAAACCAAAAACTTAAAAAATCGAAAAAAATTTACCAAAAATTTGAAAAATTGCAAAACTGAAAAATTGTAAAAATCCAAAAAATTTAAACATTGGATAAGCTAATAAATGAAAACCCTAACCAACAATTATTACTTTTATGAAAAGCCTTATAATTTTAATGAATTTTAATCAAAAACTAAAATGGCCTCATTCACTAATTTTTTTGAGCACCTTGGATAACTAATTATAAAATCTATGCTAAATTGTACAATTGAAAATATGAAAATTCGAATAATTCAATCCGATAATTGCAAAATCAGAAAATAAAAAACTTAAAAAATTAAAAGTAAAGAGTTTGGAAATTTAAGAATCTAGAAACAGAAAAATTGAAATTTTGGATAATTGTAAAATTGAAAAACCCCGGAATTGGAAAATTGGATTATTAAAAAAAAATTAAAACATTTAAATACGACAAATTTGTAATCAAAAACTTGTAAAATGGAAAAATCGGAAAAATGAAAAAACGAAAAACTGTAAAGAAAATTTTGAAAATGAACAATTTTAAAACTGAAAACTTTAAAGTTCTAAAAATTGAAAATTAACTAACAATCGAAACATTGAAAAACTAAGAGAATCGAAAAATCGAAAAACGCAAACCTTGAAAAATCCAAATTTAAAAAAATCGAAAAATTTGAAAATTGAACAACTGTAAAACCGAAAAACGGATCGAAAATTGAGACTTTGGAATATTGTAAAATCAAAAAATTGTAAAAACACTAAAAAATTAAAAATCAAAATTTTGAAAATTTAAAAATTTAGAATCGAAAAATCAAAGAACTGAAAAATCGAGAAATCGAAGAATTGTAGAACTGAAAAATCGAGAAATCGAAGAATTGTAGAACTGAAAAATCGAAAAAGTGCAAAATTATAAAATGGAAGTCTGAAAATTGTAAAATTGAAAAAATGAAAATTCGAATAATTCAATCCGATAATTGTAAGATCAGAAAATAAAAATTTTGGAAATTTAAAAATCTAGAAATAGAAAAATTGAAATTTTGGATAATTGTAAAATTGAAAAACCGCAAACAGTAAAAAACGACAAATTTGAAAGTTGAAAAATCGGAAAAATGAAAAAACGAAAAACTGTAAAGTTGGACAATTGAAAAATTGTATAACTGAAAATTTTGAAAATGAAAAATTTTAAAACTGAAAACTTTAAAGTTCTAAAAATTATAAATTGACTAACAATCGAAAAATTGAAAAATTTGGAGAATCGAAAAATCGAAAAACGCAAACCTTGAAAAATCAAAATTTTGAAATTAAAAAAATTGAAAAAGTTGAAAATTGAACAATTGTAAAATCGAAAAACGGATCGAAATTTGAGAAACTTCAAAAATCGAAAAACTCTAAAAATGAAAAAATTTAAACATTGGATTAAAAAAAAGTTGCAAAACTGTAAAGTCGTAAAATTGTACAATCAAAAAATTGGAAGTTGAAAATTGTAAAATCAAAAAATTGAAAAATTGGATAGTTGTAAAATCGAAAAATGAAAAAATGAAAAACTAAAATTAAAAATTTCGAAGATTTAAATATTTTGAAATCGAAAAATTGAAAAAATTGGAAAACAAAAACTTTTAAAACCGACATTTAATTTTGTATGAAAACCTTCATTTGTAAGTTAAAATAGTAATTCATTTTAACCAATTTTAATCAAAAAATTAATTGCTTCATTGATGAATTTTTTTGGGTCACCCTGTATAAGTAATTCTCAAAGCTATAAATGCATTGATAAACCACAAGTCAGACATAAGCAAAAATCTGTGTATCTAGGGTGAAAACCGATTCATAAATTTTGGAGGAGCAGTTCGACAATGAAACTTTAAACCACGTTAGCACCAAACTTCACTCTATGCCCCTCTTTCAGAACCATCGTCCTCTACGGCACCCTCGCCCCCACCTTCGTCGTGCTCACCGTCTTCGTGTACTTGTGCTGGCTCGACGGCTGCTGCAGCCCCCGCCCGCCCTCGGACACCCCCGCCGACGAGCCCGGCGCCTGCTCGCCCCCCGGCGAGGTGGTGACGGGGAGCAGATGCCTCCGCCTGGCCATCTTCCTCGTATCGGTGGTCCTGATCTCGGCTTGCGCCGCCGTCACCCTGGTACGTCTGCTTGAAGGATTAGCATGAATAAATTTTGCCGCTCGGTCTAGCTCGAAATTGCAAGGTGTTTAGCGGTGACAGTAGAGTGGATGCGCGTTTTCTTGTCGCCGTTATTAGACCCAGATTCGATTAAAGCCGTGTTCCAGGTGGATTACCAGCCGGTGTTGATCCCAGTCGCCTCGGAGGGGGTGGTGCGGAAAAATGGGACGAATGCGACTGAGGAGGAGGGGGAGCACTCGATGGAGACCTTGCCGGTAGGTGGAGAAAGCGCATAATAAGTATATTAGAGAAGATGGGGTTCACTCTGCAGCGAAGTTGGAAAATTCCAGGGGTCTGAAGATAAGCGAAGAAAAATGTTGCTTCTGCGGTGGGAATCGAACCGCTTGTCGGGGGGGTGCCCTTACCACTAGACTACGGAGGAGCTTATCTTTCCTCGCTTACTACTACCATTGTTTAAGTATATTATAGTTGGACAACCTAATACAAATTTTACTTCGCTTAAATAGTCGGCTTTTCGATTTCTCGATTTTTCAACTTTAAATGTCTCAATTTTTCAAAATTTCAATTTTGGGCTTTTCCAATTCTTCCATTCTTCAAATTTTCCATTTCTCGATTTTTTTATTTTTCGATGTTTCAATGATACGACTTCTCAATTTTTGTCCTCTTCAATTTTACGGTTTTTAAATATTTCAATTTTTCAAATTTTCACGTTTCTAAATTTTCGGTTTTTCAATTTTTCACATCTTCAATTCTTCAATTTTTCGATTTTTTAAGCTTACGATTTTTCGATTTTGCTTTTTTAGATTTTCGATTTCTCAATTTTCCAATTTTTTAATTTCTCAATTTTTTGAATATTTCTTTCAGTTACGAGATTATCAATATTTCAATTTTTGGACTATTCGATTTTCGAATTGATGGATTTTTTTTGATTTCTCGATTTTTTACTTTTTGGATTTTCAATTTATTGTAAACTTTAGATTTTTCAATTCTGCGACTGTTTTATACTTCGATTTCTCAATTTTTCAACTCTTCGATCTTTTAATATTTCATTTTTTAAAATTCTAGGTTTTTCGATATCTCGAGTTTTCAATTCTTCTATATTTCAATTTTTCGATTTTTTTAATTTTAATTTTCGATTTTCCAGTTTTTCTTTTTTGAAATTTTTCGATTATTCAATTTTTTAATTTCTCAATTTATCGAATTCAAATGTTTCGTTGGTTTGATTGTTCAATTTCTCAATTTATCAATTTTTTAATTTTTAACTTTCCGTTTCGGCTTTCGAGTCCTCCATATCTCGATCCTCCAATTTTTCGATTTCTCGATTTTTCAATTTTTTAATTTTTTAAATTGAATTGGATTTCTCGATTCTTCAGTTTTGCGATATTTTAATTGTTCAATGTTTTAAATTTTAGATTTTTCGATTTCTCGATTTTTTGACTTTTCAGTTCTTCAGTATTTAAATTTTTCAATTTTTCAAATTTTTACGTTAAATTTTCAGTTTTCTGATTTCTCAAAGAAGCTATTTTTGATTTTCCCACTTCTCGCGATTTTTCAGTTCTTCAATTCTTCAATTTTTCGACTTCGTTTTATTGGTTTTTCGATTTCTCAATTTTTGGACATTTATTTCAGTTTTGATATTTTTCAATACTTCGATTCTTTAATTTTTCAGTTTTTCATTTTTTGTACTTTCGATTTTTCAATTTTTCGATTGTTTTATAATTCAATTTCTCAATTTTTCAACTTTTCCTTATTTTAATTGTTAAATTTCTAGATTGTTCGGTTTCTAGAGTTTCCAGTTCTATATTTTAATTTTTCAAATTTCCAAATTTTTAAATTTTTTGAGATCTCAATTTATTGAGATTCGGATGTTTCGATGTTTTGATTGTTCAATCTCTCGCTTTATCAATTTTTCCATATATTTGTCCTATTTCGGTTTCCCAATTTTTCAATTTTTCCACTCCTAGATTTTTTGGTCTTTTGATTTTTCGATTTCTCGATGTCTCAATTTTTGAATTTTACGATGTTTCGATTTTTCGATTTGTTGGTTTTTCGATTTTTTGCTTTTCGGTTTCTCGATTTTTCGATGTTTCGATTTTTGATTTATCCGATTTTTCAATTTTCCAATTTTTTCAATTTTCAACTTTTCGATTCGTTGATTTTTCAGTTTTTCGATTTTTAAATTTTAGATTTTCGAATTTTTATTTTTTTGATTTTTTGATGTTTGGATTTCTCCATTTTTCAGTTTTAGGATATCTTAATTTTTCAATGTTTTAAATTTTAGATTTTTCGATTTCTCGATTTTTTGACTTTTCAGTTCTTCAGTATTTAAATTTTTCTATTTTTGATTTTCCCACTTCTCTCGATTTTTCAGTTCTTCAATTCTTCGATTTTTCGACTTCGCTTTATTGGTTTTTTGATTTCTCAATTTTTGGATTTTCTTTCAGTTTTGATACTTTTCAATACTTCGATTCTTTGATTTTTCGACTTCTAGATTTTCAATTTTTTATTTTTGGATTTTCAGTTTTTCATTTTTTATACTTTCGATTTTTCAATTTTTCGATTGTTTTATATTTCAATTTCTCAATTTTTCAACTTTTCCATATTTTAATTTTTAAATTTCTGGATTTTTCGGTTTCTCGAGTTTCCAGTTCTATATTTTAATTTTTCAAATTTCCAAATTTTTAAATTTTTTGAGATCTCAATTTATTGAGATTCGGATGTTTCGATGTTTTGATTGTTCAATCTCTCGCTTTATCAATTTTTCCATATTTTTGGCCTATTTCGGTTTCTCAATTTTTCAATTTTTCCACTCCTAGATTTTTTGGTCTTTTGATTTTTCGATTTCTCGATGTCTCAATTTTTGAATTTTACGATGTTTCGATTTTTCGATTTGTTGGTTTTTCGATTTTTTGCTTTTCGGTTTCTCGATTTTTCGATGTTTCGATTTTTGATTTATCCGATTTTTCAATTTTCCAATTTTTTCAATTTTCAACTTTTCGATTCGTTGATTTTTCAGTTTTTCGATTTTTAAATTTTAGATTTTCGAATTTTTATTTTTTTGATTTTTTGATGTTTGGATTTCTCCATTTTTCAGTTTTAGGATATCTTAATTTTTCAATGTTTTAAATTTTAGATTTTTCGATTTCTCGATTTTTTGACTTTTCAGTTCTTCAGTATTTAAATTTTTCTATTTTTGATTTTCCCACTTCTCTCGATTTTTCAGTTCTTCAATTCTTCGATTTTTCGACTTCGCTTTATTGGTTTTTCGATTTCTCAATTTTTGGATTTTCTTTCAGTTTTGATACTTTTCAATACTTCGATTCTTCGATTTTTAGACTTCTAAATTTTCGATTTTTTATTTTTGGATTTTCAGTTTTTATTTTTTATACTTTCGATTTTTCAATTTTTCGATTGTTTTATATTTCAATGTCTCAATTTTTCAACTTTTCCATATTTTAATTTTTAAATTTCTCGGTTTTTCGGTTTCTCGAGTTTCCAGTTCTATATTTTAATTTTTCAAATTTCCGAATTTTTAAATTTTTTGAGATCTCAATTTATTGAGATTCGGATGTTTCGATGTTTTGATTGTTCAATCTCTCGCTTTATCAATTTTTCCATATTTTTGGCCTATTTCGGTTTCCCAATTTTTCGATTTTTCCACTCCTAGATTTTTTGGTCTTTTGATTTTTCGATTTCTCGATGTCTCAATTTTTGAATTTTACGATGTTTCCATTTTTCGATTTGTTGGTTTTTCGATTTTTTGTTTTTCGGTTTCTCGATTTTTCGATGTTTCGATTTTTGATTTAACCGATTTTTCAATTTTCCAATTTTTTCAATTTTCGACTTCTCGATTCATTGATTTTTCACTTTTTCGATTTTTAAATTTTATATTTTCGAATTTTTTAGTTTTTGGATTTTTCAATTTTTTGTTTTCAATTTTTCGTTTCTTCAGTTTTTGATTTGCAAGTTTTGTAGTTTTCATTTTAGATATGTAATAATAATTATAATTTTTATTAGAGTTGTTCGCTTTTTCAATTTTTCGTTTTAAGAATTTTTTAATTTTTCGATCTTTAAATGTTAGTTTTTGGACTTTACATTTTTCGATTTAATTCGTTCTTTGATTCATTAATTTTTTCTCGATTTTTAGTTTTTCAATGTTTCTATTTGCCGTTTCTTCAGTTCTACAGTTTTGTCAAATAAATGTTATATAAATTTAAAAAAAGTAACAGTGTACCTATGGTTTATGAATCCGTGTTGAATTTTTATCTTCGACATCGAAATTTTTGTGGAAAAATAAAACAAAATTGAATCACAATTTTTCGATTTCTTGATTTCTCGATTTTTAGTTTACTTAATTTTTAGATATTTCAGTTTTACAATTTTTCAATTTTATCCTTTCTTAAATTTTCATTTTTACATTTCTCAATTTCTCTATTAATCAATTCTTTGATTTTTTGATTTTTCCTTTTTCCAATTTATCGATTTTTGAAGTTTTCGTTGTTCCAATTTTGGGATTTTTCAATATCTCCAATTTTTTAATTTAAAATTTTTCACTTTTTTGGTATTTCGATTTTTCGATGCTTCGATTTTTAAAATTTCTGATTTTTCGAATTTTGAATATTTTGATTTATCGTTTTTTTTTACTTTTAAATGTGTATTTCAGTTTTAAATTTTCCGGTTTTTCGATTTAGGGCTATTTCGATTTCTCCATTTCTCGGATCTTTTGATGTCTCAATTTTTTAATTTCGATTTCTCGGCTTTTTCATTTTTAAAATTCTCCATTTTTCGATTTTATGTTTTGTTATGCTTCGATCTCCAGATTTTAACCTTTTTAACGTGTATTCCAATTTTTCGATTTTGGAATTTTCGATTTCCTGCATCTCGATTTTTCGTTTTTTCGATTTTAAAATGTTTTTACTTTTCGTTCTTTTTTTCGATTTCTGGATTTTTCAAGTTTTCGATTTCTCAATTTTTCAACATTTCAATTTTGAGAATGTCTATATTTTTCAGTGTTTTGATATTTTCATTTTTCAACTTTTTAAATTTTGATTTTTCGACTTACCGGAAATCGATTTTTGGGTTTTTCAATTTTTCGACTTTTCAGTTTTGAGACTTTTCAATTTGTCGATTTTTTAGTTTTTCATTTCTTCAGTTTTTCGGTTTTTCAAGTTTTCGAATTTTTAAATTTAAAATTTTTCAATTTTTCGATTTTTTTTTTTACGTTTTCATTTCCCGATTTTAATTTTTTTTATGC